CTCCTCTCCTCTCCTCTCCTCTCCTCTCCTCTCCTCTCCTCTTCTCTCTCTCTCTCTCTCTCTCTCTCTCTTTCTCTCTCTCTCTCCTCTCTCTCTCAGTGACTTTACCTCTGGAGCTTGCAGAAACAGTGAACTGTCTCTTCCCAGTTTATCTGGCGCCAAGGGGAGAAATGGGAAGTGTTTGGCTGTGGCTTAAAAGGGACTTTCCAGTACACAGGATGAATTAGTCTCCCCGGGTAAAGGAAGAGGCCAAGTGAAGCTCTCTTTTTACTCTGGAGAGCAGCCAGCCAGCGATTGAACTTGGTGGCCAAGGATATGGTTACAGAGGGAAGATGTCCCCTGGTAGGAGTGTCCTGTTATATAAAATAGCAAAATGCAGGCTAGGTGAAAGCCTTGTGTGCCACTATGGAGATGGCTGCCCGGACCCTATGGACCCTGTTTGCTGAGGAGGATCCTGAGAAGGTGCAGGAATCACTGCCTGAGATCCAGAACCATGCAGTAGTCAGGTCCTTGCCTGCCACAGCTGAGCATGTGAGCCTGCAGACCAGAAGGCTGTGTGCGCCCTTGGGGAAGTGGAGGAGGCTCTCTGCTCCCTGCTCCACTGTGTTTTATTACTCTACTAGGCAGGGAATTTATTCTGTGCAAATCACAGCTTGTCTGGTGAGAAGTTGATGCCCGAGCATCAGCAGGAACGATCCCTGCTCTCGAACACAGACAGCCCGGGCTCTGAGTTCGTCTTTCTCTCCTCGTCATGATCCGCCAGAGTCCTTAAACATGGAAGAGTTGGCCAGAGGGAGCAGAAGGTGAATGGCACCGTCTGGGCTGGCTTTCTGATTCCCTCACCTCCCTCACTGTGCCTTCATCGTCACCCCATTTCCACGTGTGGGAGCCCTTCTCTGTGGGAACAAGCATCGGATCTTTGTGTTGCTGAAGATGTCTCATTCAAGTCCTCCTGAGAGGGAATTAGTACAAGACAGTGACCCCCTGCCTCTGTTCTCTGTGGCCTCCTCTTCCCTCCCTTTCTCCTTCTTCCTCCTCCTCCTTTTCCCTCCTCCTCCCTCATCTTCCTCCTCGTTTTCTTCTTCCTCTTCCTTCTCTTCTTGTCCGTGCCAGTCTGCTCTTTCTGGAACCTTGGCTCATTTGCCACCAGGCGGTCCTCGGCAAGAACACGTATGAGGCGCAGTATGCTAAGTGTTGCTGAGGTCATGCTTCCAGTATTATAGCTGAGTGCTTTCTTTTTATAAAAGAATGTTCCAGCTGCGCATGGTGGTGAATTCCTTCCTGTAGTCTCAGGACCTAGTGGGCCCCACAACAAGTTCAAGGCCAGCCTGGAATGTGTATTGGGACCCTGTTTCAAGAAAGAAAAGGAGAATATTCTTGTATTTTATATGAGAGCCTGCTGACAGTTGCTGCTAAGTCAGGGTGCCCCAGTGTGGACCGTGGGTTGAGTTAGATTTGTTGGTGTTGCTATTTGTTTGTTTGCTTTTTTGTTGTTTTTTTTTCTTTGTTGTTGTTGTTGTTTGTGGGGTTTTTTTTTTGTTTGTTTTTTTGAGACAGGGTCTCACTCTCTCATTCTGAAGCCCTGGTTGGCTTTCTCTGTAGACCAGGCTGGCCTTTAACTCATAGAGATCCTCCTGCCTTTTTTTAAATTTAATTTTATTTATTTTACATTTTTTGAGACGGGGTTTCTCTGTGTAGCCCTGGCTATCCTGGCACTCGCTCTGTAGTCCAGGCTGGCCTCAAACTCACAGAGATCCGCCTGCCTCTGCCTCCTAAGTTCTGGGGTTAAAAGCATGCGCCACCACCACCTGGCTATTTTTTTTTTTAACTTTTAGAGTTTTATTTTGTGTGTATGGGTGTTTCGCCGGCACGTGTGTCTGTGTACCATGTACATGAGTGCCCTCCCAGGTCAGAAGAAGGGATTTGATCTCCTAGAACTAGAGTTACAGTTGTGAGCTGCCATGTGGGTGCTGGCAACTGAGCCCAGCCCTCCGCAAGAGCAACCAGTGTTCTTCACCCCAGCCGTCTCGTCAGCCCCCTCCCCATTCTTTGACAGGGGCTTGGTTGTATCTGGGCTTATAGGCATGTCCCACCACCCCGTGGCGACAAATGGGTCTTTAAACTTGAGTAAGAGCGTTAAGATTTCACTTTACTACATTACCTATTTGTGGTTTTGAAAGGCTCTTATATAGACTAAATTAGTCTCAGATTCACTATGTTGAGGCTGGCCCTTGGCTCCTGGAGCTCTAGTCTCTACCTCCATTCCCAGCCCTGGCTCCTGCCTCCAGTATCCTCCAAACCCTAGTTCTTACCCAGGCACAGAATGGAAGTCTCAAGCTACTCTGTCAGAAGCCATTCCTCTCCAACTCCAGAGCTTGGCAGTTCTTCCCGGGGCCAAGTTTTTCTCCTTTAGCCAAGCAATACCATACTGTAAGGCATTTGCACCAGAGGTGGATAGTGGGACGGTGCTGAAGAAGGATTGCTGAAGTTGGGCAAGACTAACTACTTTATCCATAGACTGTGAACTGAGACAAGATAAGATCTGGAGCACGTTCCGAGGTCTATGAGGCCCCAGATGGCGCGTCCTTCAGCTACAGGACGTTCTGTTAGGGGTTTTAATAAGTTCCGCCTGAAGGCCTGGGTATCCACCCCTGGAGCGGGGGTGGGAGAGGATGGGGTGGGCAGTTTTCGCTTGAGAGCCTCTCTCCACTGTGACTTCCTCCTTCTCCACCTGTGGTTGCTGAACTCAGGTGAACACCTGACTAGGCCCACTCCAGGCTTTTGCTGAGGTAATTTAAGAAAGGATGCAGTCATTGGAGTTACACAGAATGGGCAGAGAGTGACAGAGAGCAGCAGGTGCCACGGAGCAACTGGCCCTTCTAGGCCTGGCTGTCATGCATCCTGGTGCCCAGAGCCCAGCTGCTGAGACCAGGCCCCAGGGCGGCTCAGTCAGAAAAGCCACTTGGTTTCTTACAGCCTCTGTGTGTGTGTGTGTGTGTGTGATTTTCGTGGTGATTCTAAATTTGGAAAGAATTCACATTAGAGGGTGAGATCTAAAGTGTGAGCAGGGACTGGAGACTCCTGCAGGCTCTGCCCCTGCCCCCTGCGCTCTCAGGGTGCACCTTGCGTTCCGTGGCCTGGATTCAGAACCGTCTGGATCTTCCCTAGGTGTGACTCCAGGACCTCTGCCTGGATCCCAGGCTGCACCCTTTGAGGCAGGAGCTCGGGGCCATCCTGGGATTCTGACTGCTTCACGCCACCCTTCCCGGTTCCCAGGAGGGCCCTGCCGCCTGTGCAGTAAAGAAACGCTTTGGTTTCTCCTTGTTCTTGTCCAAGGTTGCTCGAGTCAGGGCTTCTTGCTGCCTCCCTGGCTCCAGGCCTGGCTTCCCCTTCCCTTCTTCACGGTCCTGCCAGTTACACACCTGTGCCCACCTGCAGGTCTCCCTCTTGCCGTCTGTCAGCGTTCTTGTTTGGCGAGAAGGAAGAGGAGAGGCAGACCGCCAGAGTCTTCCCTGTAGCTCTCCTTATTCTTCCCTGCTTACCCTCACAGCCTCTTTCTCCACATCCTTCAAACTCTCCTGGACTTTCTCACCAGCCCTGAGCCTGCCTTTCAGAGCGTGGCGACCAGCAGGGAAAGATGGAAGATGACATTTCACAGGGCTTTAGTTTGTGTTATTAGCAAACTTAACCTTTCCCAGGGGTCATTGTTTGTATTTCTCCTTTAGTAAACCACTTTTTGTGACTTTATTTGTTTATTGTGGTGAAATCCATGATACATGACCTACCTTGAAGTGTATGGCCACTGCTGTTTGGATTCTGAATGCCCCAAAGGCCTACCTGTTGAAGGCTTAGCCCCCAGCCTGGGATGCTGTTGGGAGGTGAGGCCTCGTAGGAAGGATTTAGGTCATTAGGGATTGTGCCGTAGAATCGGGACAATGACCCCCTCTTGTAGAATATAGTTTAAGGTGTGTTACTTTTGTTTATGTTCTGGAATATTTGTTTAATGATGCAAAAATGTGTTAGAACAAATGAAATCTCCCTGTGGTCAGGAGGTTGGGTCAGTAACTAGCTGACAGGAGGTGGTAGGACGGGGCCAGGCGAAGAAAGTTTTTAAGGAGGGGCGAGGAGAAGCAGGAGGGCTTCTGGAGAGACACCAGCAGGAGGGGAGGTGAGCTTCCTCTGTTCAGACTCTCTGAGGAGCAGAAGTCCACCTCAACCTTCCAGTCTTGAGTTCTTTAGAGGGACAGAGATTTAGTTAAGTTCCCTTTGTAGCTTTGAAAGAGTCGGTGCCTGAGGGGACAGAATTCCCTCAGCTAATGCTGCTAGGATAGTGGTAAAGACAACAACCCCCGGAGCCTTCCCCTCTCGTTTCTTGGATTCCCTGAGGTGACCAGACCTTCTCCACCACATGATCTCTCTGAGGGTGTGCTACAGGTCCAAAGCTATAGGTACAAGTGACCGTGAGCTGAAACCTCTGAAACTGTAAGAAAAAAAATCAACCTTTGGTCTCTGTGACATGAGGACACACACGTGGTCACGGTTCCCTCACTGGCGTGCATCTCCAAAGCCTTTCATTTCCCTCTCAAACTTAGCCACACCCAATAACGCCCGCCCAGTGCTTACCACTCCCCACTTTGTCTATGAAGCTGACCACTGTAGCAACTTCACGCATGAAGAATCACATAGAATTTACCTTTAGAGCTGTCAGACAGGTGTGGGTTCGGGGATTAGACTCAGGCCACCAGGCTTGGTGGCAAAGGCGTCCTGCTGAGCTGTCACCGTGGCCCAGTGGTGGCTGTTTTGAGGTTGGCTTGCTTCAGGGTTCGCCTGCATTTCGGTGTGTCCCCAACATGTGCCTACTTTTGAAAGCCGGTTAGCATCTCCCTGTGTCAGGATGGAATTTTGTTTATCTGTTCTGCCCATTCACAGGCCCTGAGCTGGCCCCACTTTTTCTTGGAGCCTAATGTGCTCTATCACTGTTTCCATGAATTAAGGACACCACCTCCTCGTCAGCGTGTGCTGAACTTGGCAATGGAGTTGATGTTCTTATCTCCTGTCGAGTAGAAAGACATCCTCAGGAAGCAAAACCCCAGGGCTGTATGCCTAGGAACTAGGATCCATGCTGATTCTGAGCCTCTTTAATCCAGTTCCGGAGAACATGTTTCTGATGGATACTGGCATGGCTCCCCCTGTGTGTACCATGTATAGCCCCATCCCTGCTGCCTTTGTTTAAGCTCCCAGGGCAGATGAGGCAGTGTTGTTATTTTACCTGCATGCAGGCAGAGGCTGTAGGGGTCCTGTCCTGGACCAAGGCCTCCAGCTGGTAGGAGACAGAGCATTGTGTACTTTTACCATCATACCTCAGGGCCTCTTCTGGTTTATACTCCAGATCCAGCCAGAGCACTGACTGCCTAAGGTGCTGTTCAAAGTTGCCCCGGGCTGAGCCCCAGGCAGCTCACCTGACTTCAGGGTGTGAATAGCAGCTGACGGTATTCTCCACGGAGCATCTTGGCTCTCCTGACCACAGCCCTGCTCCAGCCCACGTAGGGGACGCTTGCATTTGTCCTCCTTGGGAGCAAATGTGGCCGCAGCCAGCTGAGGTGACCGCAGCTGTTTTCCTAAATCCCTTGGGCGCCGTTGGCTGCTATTCTGAGGCCCAGCTGCCTTTGGAGTCCTGCTTCACACCCTGATCTATGGGCTCCACGGGGTGAGGGAAGGGTAGAAATAACTCTGTGGTCAGCTCCCAAAATGGACTCTGAGCCAAGTCACAGGCTACCCATGTGGGGACTTGGTCTCTCACGTCCCTCGTATCCTGACGTGTCTGTGATGGGATCTGTTTCCCTTCATGCTCTGGACCTGGTCTAGCACTTACAACATGGAGTTGCTGGGTGGGCCGGGAGGTCTGTTCTTCAGCCTCCCTTTTTTCCCACCTCTTTGAAACCTCTGGTTTGTTGTTATGTAGGCTTGGTAGACATGTGGGCGTCACTGCGAGAAAACAAGGAAGTCTCAACACTTGCTAATGTTGGTTGGACAAAGAATTCACGTGTGAGTTTGAGTGTGAAAAACTGTTTGTGTGTGAGTGTGTGTGTGAGGGGGTGTCAAATCAAGTCATGGGAACAAATGTTCAAATTGGAACCTTTTTGTCTCCAAAGTGACTCTCCCAGACAGGGAGTTCGAGTTGAGGTGTTGGAGAGAAAACATGGCTTTGTAGAACAGTTGGGCCTGTGTGCGTGCCCACAGGTCTGGGCTCATACTCAAACACACAGCCCCTTGGCTGGGATATACCAAATGTGGCTGTTTCCCCTTCAGCTGAGGGGGCAGTTTCTGTGGATTTAGAATGCCTCAGAGCCAAGGTTGAGTAGAGGCACAGAGAGGAAACGATCGACAGGGAATGTCTGTGGAAATGGTGCACAAGTGGGGGAAGAGTGGGCTACCCCATGCTCAGCGTGGGCTACCCCATGCTTAGTGCACTGTGCCCATTACCCACTGTGCCCGGCTCTGCGGCACAGCTAGGCTGGCCCCATTCTATCAGCATAGAATATGCTATTTCACTAGCAGCTTCCTCTTCCATTTGCAAAGCTGGCCCTGTTTTCTCCATGGATGAGACTAATCTTTCCTTTCGCCCTTTCTACATCTTTAAAGAAGTTAATTAATGCCTAGAGGAGACTCTTCCTTTCATCCTGCATTCACAGGGACCAAGCTCCTTAGTCACCAATGACAAAGCCCACCACAGACGTGGAGACAAGGAGGAGTCAGTGGAGATAAACAAGCCTTAAAGTGTTCCTGGCTGGCTGGTGTCCTGGTCTCTCGGGAGTGGTCTGGTTGAGTGCTGACTGTAGGCACTTGGGGTAGGAGAGTCAGCTGGGCTTCCATGAGGGTGCCTCATGAGGCAGAGGCACAGCACTTACCTGGGGATAGTCGGCAAGCCGAGGACCTTCCTTAATCTTGTCCTTGGGGAAAGGGCTCAGGGAGGGAAACAGTGGGCATGGGAGGTGTGTGGTGTAGAGAAACGGTGCCCACGGCTGGTGTACCATTCTTCTGTAGCTATTTATCTTGGGAGCCATTGGTCTCATGTCCCGTGTCCATGATGCTTAAGAGGGGAGCACATATAATGGTGCCACTGTTAGCCAGGCTGCAGAAGTGACCGCATGCTAAAAATTTAAGGATGAGTGTCCTGGGCCACTCTCTGGATATTCCATAGGACATGGTCCCTGGCCTTAAGAAGGCAATGTTCCCATGGAGAAGGCAAACTGTGTTCACTCGGTGTCAGGAGGGCCATAAGAGAGCCATGGCAGAGTGGCGTATGTTTGGAGGGGGCCTAGAGGGTCCTTCAATGGTAGACAGCTATCTTAGGAGGGAGATGCTGTGGGGGAGGGGCCGTGGCTGATGGTGACTATACCGGATGTGTGCTCGCAGGGGCAGCACTCCCTACAGTCCAGCCCCATGCCCTGCCCTAGGAGCTGTGGCCAAAGCGACTCTAACAGGAGCCCCCCTCTCTTTCTCTCTGTAGCCTTCAATTCCCCAGGTCCCAAACTACAGGCTGTCCATGACGATCCCAGACTGGCTCCAGGCCATCCAGAATTACATGAAGACACTACAGTATCCTTTCAAGCCAGGGGCTGAGCACCCCAGACAAGGGATGGGCATGGTGATCGCAAGCTTAGTGGCATATCTGTCACCTGCTGGTTTGCCAAAGCTCTGGTAGGCTGGAAGATGTTGAAAGGGCACCCTTGGGAGAGAGCTTGCAGCACACAGGCTAGCAGAGTACATCATGCCGCGACCAGAATGACCAGGGCTTGTCCCTCAAACAGCGGTAAGGTTGATCCACGGGGAGCTCGTGACTTCTTTTCTGCTTCCCTGCCTTTTCCTCTGCCTTCCCTGGCATCCCCTCATCTTTCCATTCCTTCTGTTTCTTCCGCTTCTTGATTGTCTTTGTTCCCTTCTTTTCCTACCTGCTCAGCTTTCCTTCTCCTTCTCCCCCCAGAAATGATAGGATAAAAGGGTAGATCATTGAATCTACTTTTAAACCAAGAAAGCAACTACTAGTCTTAAGTATTTTACATTGATATCGATTTGTGTATGTCGATACAAATTTCAGGATCGCTTCTGGTATTTTATAAGGCACAGGAGTCCCATGGGGAGCCGGCTTCAGTGTGCTTTTAGGAGGTTGTGCTTCTGGTTGACTCTGCACAGAGGCCCCTGGCATGTAGCTTGCTTTCTGCTTGCTTTTCCCTAACCCTGAAGCTGAGAGAATTGGGGAAGCAGGAAGCCTCTGCCACAGGCGAGAATGACTGTGCCTCTCCTGAAGGGAATCAGAGACCCATACCTTCCAGGGCTGCAGAGTGTCCCAGTAGATTACCTGATTAGCATCCCAGTTTCTGCTTCATAGGGCATCGCCTTCCTATGCAGCACCTTTCTCATGGAGTCCTGACTTCTCGCCAGGAAACTGTGGCTCCCTCCAGAGAGAGACTGGCAGCCCTAGACCCTACCAAGGTTATTGGGTGTTGCTGCTGACCTCCAAACTAAGACACTACATGGATTGTCAGTGGTGGCTGAGGGGCATGGACTCAGGCCTGAAGAACTGTCCTTTCAATGGTCACTTAGTCCTCACCAAACGCTCCAGGTGACCCAAAGTTGGAGCAGCTCTCGCTTCTATCTAGGACGAGCCTTCCCAAGGAGGATGAGCCTGGCTGAGCTGCATCACGAGGGACAAATTTGCATGTATTTTGCATATCATTTTCTCCCACTGATAGAAAAGTCACACATACCTGGCTTCGTCCTCATCATTGCTCTTGAAGGGTCCTCCTTTTGCTTTTCCTCTGGCCCATTAACGGTGTCCGTTACCCAAGATTACTGACCACAGAGTAGGCAGTGGAAAACACAAGGGAGAATAGGGGACCAGGTCATCAGGCCTTTGGGGCCACGATCAAGGGAAGCAGAATAGAAACCCTTCTATTTCTGACCTGGTGTCTAGTTCCTTGGGTGCCTGACTGTGTAGCTGGAGTCTTTTCTGCCCCACCTGCCAGTCCCAACGCCACTTATAAAATACTCATTCAGAGGTTTAATATTAATTATAATTGTTTGGCCGATGGCTCTGGCTTATTACTGGCTAGCTCTTACATTTAAATTAACCCATTTCTGTTAATATATAAATCATCACGTGGCCTGTGGCTTACCAGTAATGCATCTCATTCCTCCAGTGGCTGCTGGTATCTTTCTCGACTCCATCTCCTTTTTCCTGTATCTCTGGTTGGATTTCCTGCCCAGCTACATTCTGTCCTCCCATAGGCTAAAACACCTTTGTTCTTCAACCAATGAAAGCAACACATATTCACAGCGTACAGAAGGACATCCCACACCATGACTGCTTGACCTTGACACAGGTGGCAGGATCTGGGGACCGCTTAGGGCCATACCTGTAGGCGGATTTTTCTGTCCTGCCAGCCAGCTCCCAAATAATGACATGGAGACCTGTTATTAATTATGAAAGCTTGGCCAATAGTTTAAGTTTGTTTCTAACTAGCTCGTATAACTTAAATTAACTGATTTTTATTTACTCTCTGCCTCATGGCTATATTAACTAAACTCTGTACTGCCCATCCTGCTTCCTCTGAGTCCTGGTGTCTCCTTGCCAGTCTTCCCAGTGCTCTCTCTGCCCCCCAAATTCTGCCTAGCTACTGGCCATTTAGCTTTTTATTAGACCAATTATAGCGAAATATCTTCACACAGTGTAAAGGAATATCCCACAACACATACCTAACTATACATGTGCTCAGATGTCAGTGGTGTTTTGATGGACCCAGCCCTGCCTTCTCCTGGAACAGTGTAAATGGCTGTGCTGGTCTTTGTATGTGTTTGGAAAGGGAGCCTGTGGCTTTGCGAGACACGGGAAACCTGCCCAGGAGCTCTATGCAAAGATACAGGAAAGGCTAGAGAGAAACTTCCAGAAGTTCAGCTACCAACCACAAGGAACTTAGAGAAGATGGCCAGACAATTTTTCTTTTCTTTTCTTTTTTTTTAAAAATATTTATTTATTTATTATGTATACATAATTCTGTCCATGTGTATGCCTGAAGGCCAGAAGAGGGCACCAGACCTCATTACAGATGGTTGTGAGCTACCATGTGGTTGCTGGGAATTGAACTCAGGACCTTTGGAAGAGCAGGCAATGCTCTTAACCTCTGAGCCATCTCTCCAGCCCCCAGACAATTTTTCATTACTTAATTATGGATTAATCTTACTTTTTAGAAACTGAATTCTACTTTAAATATACTGGGAACATTTGTTTGAGTATTATTTGAGCAAAATCTTTGATAGAGTAAAAAAGTACCACTTCACAATAAGAGCTCCTTGGTTTTTTTTTTTTTACCCCTAAGAATTGTTAATATCTTATTTTAGAAATGCCAGGCCGGCCTGTACTGTTATGAACATGGCCCAGGTCAGCGACTCCTAAGGTGCACTAGTTCCTATCACCCCTGGCCCTGACTGTTGTTTCCAGTCCTGTAGATAGAAGTTTCTGTCCTACTCAGTCCCACTGCCATTCAGTCACAAATAAACACACAGAGGCTTATATTAATTATAAACTGTTTTGCCTATTGCTCAGGCTTATTAATAACTAGCTCTGAAAACTTAAATTAACCCATAATTCTTATCTATGTGACTTGGTACCTTTTCTCAGTAAGACATTCTTATCTTGCTTCCTTTGCGTCTGGCTAACGAATGACTCTCTGCCTTTCCTCTTCCCAGAATTCTCCTAGTCTGGTCACCCTGCCTATACTTCCTGCCTTGCTATTGGCCAGTCTGTTTTATTAAACCAACACGAGTGACAAATCTTTACAGATACAAGAGCATTATCCCATAGCACAATCCAGCGGTCAGAAGTGGGGCAGGAAGTCATGAGCTATGGCCTATGACTGGATTCTGCTTTTGAGCCACAGGCTCTTTATCTGTGCCCTTCGTCTGAAGGGCAGTGTGAGGTGTGCCCACCCTCCAAGCTGCTTGCATCACCAGGACACATAGTGAGTGAGTCCTACACACCGGACTGAATACAGCAGCTCTAAGAGCAAAGTCACTCTTTGTCCGCATCCCCCAGCACACAGTTTACAAATAGGTTGAAGCAAACGAGTAAAACATATAAATCAAGTTAAGCTAAAAAAAAATTCAAAATTGTGCCTCAGAAAGCATGACATGAGGGGTATTTGGTGGCACATGTTTGCTAGCTCCAGAGAACTGGGCAGTCAGTCAGAATCAGGATATGGGTAGTAGTTGCCATCTGTTTAGGTTAGTGGTGGTGTCAAGTGTTGGCATGAAATAAGTGACATGTTCTTAAGTTCTTAGTGCTGTTGAAAAGCCTTACTGCCATTCATCCACTCTTCCATCTTTTCGTCCATACACTGATATATCAGCCATCCCATACATACCATATATGCATCCTTTTGTCCACTTATCCATCCATTCATCCATCCACTCACCCCTCTATCCATCCATCCATCCATCCACCCATCCATCCATCTACCCTTCCATCCATTCTTCCATCCATCACCCATCTACCCAGTATCCATCCATCCACCTTCATCATCCATCCATCTACCCATCCACCTATTCTTCCATCCATCCATCCATCCATCCATCCATCCATCCATCCACTCATCCTTCCATCCACCCATCCACCCACATCATCCATCCATCTATCCTTCTGTCCTTCTATCTATCCATCCACCCACTCATTTATTTACCCATCTATCCATCCATCATCCATTCACTCATCCATCCTTCCGTCCACCTATCCACCCATCTGTTCCTCCATCCACCCATCATCCATCCATCTTTCCACCATTCTCCCGTCCACCTCCCTGTTCACCCGTTTACCTTTCTTCCATCATCCACCTATCCATCTGTCCATTCATTTTCCTCTTCTTCTACCCATCCATTTGTCCTTCTGTGCATCTACTTTCTCTTTCCTTTCTATCTTTTCACTTGTTTATCCACTGAGCTGCCCACTCATCAGTTAATTCATTTACTTATTCCCATTTAATAATGTTTGCTAAATCTGTGTATGTTGAGCTTCTTCTAGGTTTATGGGTGATCCAAAGATAATAAAAGAATGCTCCCAGGGCTGGAGAGATGGCTCAGTGGGTAAGAGCATCGCCTGCGCTTCCAAAGGCCCTGAGTTCAATTCCCGGCAACCACATGGTGGCTCACAACCATCTGTAACGAGGTCTGGTGCCCTCTTCTGGCCTTCAGACATACACACAGACAGAATATTGTATACTAAATAAATAAATATTTTTTTTTTAAAAAAAGAATGCTCCCAACTCTCAAGGGCTTCTAGTCTAGCCCATGATTTAGACATGTGGTCAAGTAACTGGGACACAGGGCAGACTAAAATGAGGTACCATCAAAAGTGTATCTAGGCTCAGTTAGAAATTAGATTTTTGGCTGGAAATTAGATTTTTGGTTGGTCAGAGCACTGATTTCTCTTCCAGAGGGTCCTAAGTTCAATTCCCAGCAACCATATGGTGGCTTATAACCATCTGTAGTATGATCTGATGCCCTCTTCTGGCATAAAGTCATACATGCAGATAGAGCACATAGATACATAAAACAAATAAATAAATAAATAAAAAATAAGGGGAAGAAGAAAAGAAGAAGAAATTAGGTTTCCAGAGCTAGGTGGTGAGGAGTCACAGGTTGTGACTCCCTGGCCACTGGCTAGAAAAGCGACTACTCCCTGTCCCCTTGAGAAGTGGGAGTCAGTGTGGCTCTCCGCTGGGTGACCAGGACTTCGGAGCGTTTGTCACTTTGCCTTTACATGTTTCACACAGATACAATCACACAGGAACCCAGTTCTTTGAAATCAGGAAAATGAGACCTCTGAGTGGGTAAGTGCTGCATTCTCTCCTGTGGGAGAGCCACCAGCGTCCTCTCCCAACCTCTGCCCCGTCTCCTAGGGCCCAGGATTCTAGTCTGGGAGGGTGGAGGTGGAGGTGCCCCAGGGCCAGACTGTGGGTGGAGCTGAGGACTAATTGCTCTTGGCAGCTAAATTCGGTGATCAGGACTGACTCTCAGGCCAGGTGTGCTACCCACATCTTTAATACCAACACTTGGGAGGCAAGTGGATTTCTGAGTTTGAGACTGGCCTGGACATACCAAGTTCTGGGCCAGCCAGGACTACAACTCAAAAATCACAGACCAGACTGACTTTCAGGATGGCAGAGGCCTGAAAAGTCACTCATGAGGCCTGTCTTACTTGTCCTTTAAGGCCCTGCCTCCAGACTGGGAGGATGTTGTGAGGTATAACATGGCCCTCTCTGAGGTAACTGGGAGGAGCCTGTGGACTTGAGGATCTTAGTTCTGTCAAGTGCACATGTGTTTAGGGGTCTTCCCTGGGAAGATTTCTGCATGGTGCCTAGTGAGGAGACAGGCATACCGACAGACTGATGAACTGACGGACCATCAAAGTGACTGCCTAAGTCCTGAGATCTTCTGTTGTGTTCTGTCCCACAGGTTAATGGAAACGGCGAGAGAGATGACCCGAGAATCCTTGCCTATCAAATGCCTTGAGGCAGTCATTCTGGGCATGTATCCTTTAAGCTTCGTGTGGTCACTCTGTGACCCAGTTCTGGGGCTGGTTGTGTCTTGGGTGTCCTTATAGAAAAAGATCAGACACCCGTGGTACTTCTCTCAATTTGACCTGGCTGGAGTTGAACAAAATCGATGCTTGGCTCCTTGGACCGGCGTTCATCTAACCTGTTCTCTGAGTCGGGACCAGTGACTGTAGATTCAGCGGTCACAAGGAGAATTCAGGCTCAGACTGTACGTGTGCGGCTCTCTCCTGACACTGTCATAAGAGTTAAACACCGAAATGGAGTTAAAGCAAGGCCTAGAGGGCCAATATCCAAACCCATCACCATGGGAAGTGTGAGAGCAGACTGCAGAGAAGAGCAGGTGCTGGCCGTGTGTCGCGGGAACCCAGTGGGCACAGGGGCTGCTGGCCGTGTGTCGCGGGAACCCAGTGGGCACAGGGGCTGCTGGCCGTGTGTCGCGGGAACCCAGCGGGCACAGAGGCTGGTCTCTTTGCGTTATCATTTGCACCACAGTCTTGGCTCTTTTCCCTCGGGAGGAATTTGATCCAGGAAATCTGTGATGACCCTGACTGATGGTGGTGGCGACTGAACAAAACCAGATAGAAGAGCCAGAGAAATGCTGGAGCCTGTGGGGTAGTTGGCTGAGAGGGCCATGGCCAGGTGTCGGGTTAATAGTCGGCCCAGATGAAGGCTGCTGGCTTCTTGAGTGTGGTGCTAAGTGGCTTTCAATCTTCTGAAGCTGAAGACTGACGTGGTCTCATGCCTGGGTGTCCCATTTAGAGTAGCTTCCAGAAAGACGGGAGAGTGGAGGCAGCTGGACTGGATAGGCAGAGCTCTTTGTGTCTGACAGAAGGGGATGGTGAGACTTGGACCATGACCTCGGCAGGAGGACCGGGTTGGGTGAGGTAGTTTCCAGAGTTGCCAGGAGATAGAGTGTACAGGACTGGAAACCAGCCAGACGTAGGCGCTGACAGGGAATCAGCTAATACAGGCTTCCCAGTAGGCCACAGACGGAGAAGACACACGAGAAGAATTGGGTGACGGGAGTGTACCGTATCTGTACAGGCCCGCGCTGGGACAGCAGCAGGGAAGGCTGAGGGGAGGGGCCTGCAGGTGTCTAGGCCATAGCTCTGTGGATCCCTCCATTTCTATCCTGCATGACAATGCCATGACCCAAGGGAAGGACTTAAAAGGCTCCAACTGGAGGGCATGGGTTCAGATGTGGACTGGCTGGATCTGAAACATGGAATCTGGGCTGTGGGGATGGGATATTTGGAGGGTTGGGTTTTTGAGGAGGTGGAGCCATGCTCGAAACATAATTTGGGTGGTGTGAATGTTGGGGAGATGGGAGGAGAAAAAAGTGGTGGAGAATGAAGCTCAAAATTCTTTTATCTAGATGGACACAAGGAACCAGCCAAGGAAGCTGTCCTTGCTTATATTCTGTTGCTGTGTTCAATGCCATGGCCAAAGCAACTTAGGGGAAGAAAGGGTTTATTTCTATTAATGCTTCCAGATCCGAGTCCATCATTGATGGAGGTCAGGGCAGAAACCATGGAGGAATGCTACTTACTGGCTCTTTCCCTGTTCATTCTCAGCTAGCTTCCTTATGCAGCCCAGACCTACCTGCCTAGGGACGATACAGACCAGAGTGGGCTGGGCCCTCCGCGTTAATCACCAATTAAAACAATCCCTCAGTGACATGGCCACAGGCTAGTCTGATGGAGGCAACTCGTGTTGAGGCTCCCTCATTCCAGGTGATTCTAAATTGTGTCAGGTTGACAATAATGTGCTGGGGTATATAGGCCACCTTGTCCTTTGCACATTGTTAACCTGACACAATTTAGAGACTTCAGAAAGCTCAGAGGTTGGCTGGGAACCGGGAAAGGAGACAGCAGTCAGTGAAGGCGTGCTTCAGAATTAGATGGGGACAGGAGGATGGTCTAGTTTGTTTGGACTCTTAGACATGTGTGGTGTATGCATGTTTGTGTGCTGGTATTCAGATGCACACACTACATATGTGTGGATTCAGAGCTTAACAGCTTAGCATTGGACAACTTTTATCACTTTCCACCTGTGTGTGTGTGCATGCGTGTATAATGTGTGTAAGTGTGGGTATGCACATGCCACAGCTTGAGTGTGGCAGTCAGAGGACAGTCTCAGATGTCTGTCCTCACCTTTCACTTCATTTGAGACAAAGTCTCTTTTTGGTCCATTGCAGTTATCTGGCCCCTTAGGCTCTCAGGAATTTTCCTACCTGCCACCCCACCTCATAGTAGAAGTGATGGGTTCCAGCTGTGATGGGCCATACCTGCTTTGTGTAGGTTCTTGGGATTTGAACTCAGGTCCTTTGCATGTGCAATAAGAGTTTTAACCCACTGAGACACCCCCTGCCACCAACCATCCTCCTGACTTTCTGAGACAGGGTCTCCCACAAACCTGGAGTGCTCTGTTTGGCTAGCCTGACTGTCTGGGCAATGCCACTACACCTGAGTCTTACACAGAGAGTGGAGATCTGAACTCGGGTCCTCGCACTTACAAAGCAAGGACTTGTTTTGCAAGACAGGGTTTCTCTGTCTACTGTCCTAGAACTCACTCTGTAGACCAGGCTGGCCTTGAACTCACAGAGACTGCCTGCGTCAATCTCCCAAGTGCTGGGATTAAAGGCGTGTGCCATCACCACCAGACTGTATAGCCAGTATTTTAACAACTAAACCATCTCTTCGACTCCTCTTGTACCTTTTGGTTTTGTTTTTGTTCTTTGAGGTGCTGGAGACGAAACTCGGAGCCTTGTACAGACTAGCCCAGCACTTCACCCGAGCTAGACCTCTGTCCCCGATTCTCACAGGGTCTTGTGTTTTGTCATGTGTGTGTCTTTTGTGTGTATACTGCTGGGTATGAAAGCATGGGCTCCGCACCCGCCACTGCATGCGGGTCAGGGAGCTTCTGTGCCTCTCTGCCGTTTGCAGGGCACACAGGGGTCTGACCTGAAGTACGACTGCCCGTCTGTGCCGCAGTTAGCATTTGGAAAATGAGAACTTGAGTCCTTCAGAAGCCTCCCCCAGATCTTCTCCCTGCTCGCCGTGTAAAGGGGAGACGCACATTAGAGGGCCTAGCAGGATGTCAGGCTTAGGGGGCAAGAGGAATCTCAGGCCCCCGCTCTTGACTAGCAGGAATGGGCCATGGTTGTAAGCAGAACACCTTGTTGGTGGAGGCCAGCAGAGGACACAGGCCAGACGCTGACGAGCCCGGCTCAACTGCTCTGCTCACCTGCTGAGTGTGCTGGGGATGTAGGCCACCTTGTCCTTTGCACACCGCTAACATCTGAGCACCATTGTGCCTGGAATTACCCAGAAGCACCGGGACTTGCAGAGAATAGATCTAGGACCCCGCCGGGCTGGTGCTCTTGGTTTTGCTTTGTTCTTCCTTTGTGACATTTCAGAGCGGAGCAAGGCAGGTGGCGAGTGTGGGAGACTGCCTGTCACGCTCTCCTGGGGAAACCGGACTCTTGGCACAGACCTCCATCCGCAGCTACAACAGTTCTGTCTTTGGTCTGTGTCAGCGTTCCGCTGTCCCGTTTCCCCTCGGGACAGGAAGAGTGATTCAGGTCATGGTCAGTGTCTCCCAGAGTTTCCCACTGTCCTGGGAAACAAGGTTTTCTTGACAACCAGGAAGCTGGTAGGTTTGGTGACTTCTAGCCACTTGTCCTCCTTTCTGTCCAGTGTGTGTGGGTGAATGTGCATGTGGAGGCCAGGGGACAGCTTTGGCTATGGTGGCTCAGGCACCATCCACCTCTTTATATTATTTATTTAGGGAGGCAGGATCTCCTGGTGGCCCTGAACTCAAGTTAGCTGAGCTGGCCAGCCAGTAAGCCCCCCAGATCTGCCTGTTTCTACTTTCCCAGCATGGGGTTACATGGATCTTAGGTTCCAGGTTCTCTCTGAGTTCGGCAGATGTTTGGAGAAGCCGCTACTGTGCCGAGCCTCGCTGCGGGGATTGTGCTGCTGGCAGGTCAAGTCCCTTGTGCACAGGGAGAGACACACTTGGCATCGGGAGCGAAGCTTAAAGCTACTGCTGTCACAAGCAAGCTACATTGGCTGATTTGTTTAGTGACGTCTTTCGAAGAGCAGCCTAAGTTGTTTTGTTTTGAGGCAGGAGCTTTACTATGCATTCCAGGCTGACCTTGGATCGCCTCTAACCTCCCGGCCGCCAGAACTATAGGCCTATGCCTTTGTGCTCGGGTATCACTTTGTCTTTGTGGTGGCACTGAGGATTGAACCTGGGCCTCATGCTTGCGAGGCAAGTACTTTCCTATTCAGCTACGGCCCCAGCCCTACCTATGGCTTCCTGATAAGCTGTGCTATGTAAAAGTCGTGTGACGGTCTTCTGCCTCAGTCACTCTCTATCGCTGTGGTCAGACGCCATGACCGAGGCACCTGATGGAAGAAAGAATATTTGGGGCTTACAGTTTCAGAGTGTGAATGGGAACATGGCCGCCAGAAGCCATGGCACTGAGGCAGTAGCTGAGAGCTCACATTTTGAGACAAAAACCTCAAGGCAGGGAGAGAGCTAACTGGGAATGGTGTGGGGTTTTGAATTCTCAAAGCCTACCCTCCCCCGCCCAGTGTGACCGACAACCCACCAAGGCCACACCTCCTAGTCTTTCCCAAACAGTTTCACCAACTGGGGGCCAACCAAATATATGAGCCTGTGGGTTAATTCTCATCCAAACCCCCATGCCATCTAAACACTCAGCTTCTTAAGGAAGAATATATGTGCTAAGGACTGTGGTTTCCATTGTGTTTTCTGGACAGTGTTTTACTAAGTAGCCCTGGATGGCCTCTAGCTCAGAGCTCTGTCTGTCTCTACCTCTCAAACCTGGGATTAAAGGTGTGTGTCACCGTACCTGGATCCTGTGTACCTTCGTTATGGCTTCAGGATGTGTCCTCCAAAAACGTCCAGGGCCTCCTGGTGGTCAGACAAGGACACTGAGATGACACAGAGGGCGGATGATCAGGGCCAAGTGACATCAGGACTTTGCTCAGGGACCAAAACAGTCCTAAGAATTGAGACATGGAAATCTCTGAGGTGGAAGACAGGTTTACCCAGTTGGGCTGAGATATGTCATCACGTTGTCAGGGAACATGTGATTAAGACAGATTCTTTTAAAAAATATTTATCTGGAGGGGAGGTGCTGCAGTACATGCTGAGTGTGTGGAGGTCATGCATGTGTGTGGAGGTCATGCATGTGTGTGGAGGTCATGCATGTGTGGAGGTCATGCATGTGTGTGGAGATCAGAGGACAACTTGCAGGGTCAGTTCTTTCTTTTCATCATATTGCACTCCGGAGATGAAACTCAGGTCATCTGGCTTGGTGGCGGGTGCCTTTCCTTGCTGAGGCACGTCAGCTGTCTGCAGAATGAGAACGGAGCGCTGTGTCCACACCTGACCTCACCATCATGCAGTACCATGTCATTCACATCAGAAGCATTCCGCTCCCCTGGGCATTCTACCGAGAGGAATGACCCAAAGAGTTTCTAGGAGAGTTGGGTCGAGGGCTGTGAGATCTAACCAGGAATGGTGTGGAATTTCTAGAGGGGCTTGGAAGTGGGGCACCTCTGGCTTGGCCATCCAGGGCTTGGAGTAGGATGTTAATTCAAGCTACTCCTCTGCAATTATTGGTCAAACCAACACTGTAGTGGCTGGAGAAGGCAGCTCTGTTGGTAAAATACTCGCTGAGTTTGCTCGTCCAGGACCAGTGTTAAAACAAACCCCAGGTGTTGAGGCCTGCACTTGTGATCCCAGTTATTGAGAGGTGGAGGCAGGAGGATCCCCAGGTCTCACTGGCCAAGCAGTTTACCTTAATGATTGGGTTCCAGGACAAGATATCCTGTCTCGAGAAGTAAGGACAGCAGAGAGGAACACCAAAGGGGACTTTTGGCCTCCGCACTCATGTGCACACACACACACACACATATACACACCTAAAGTCATGGTAAGAGGCTGCCACTAAGTCACTACAGGCCAGTGAGTTGGGAGAGCCAAGGTGTGCCATGTGAGTTTGGGACTAAGATGGGACTTGGGACTGAGGGTTTTCTACATGATAGCCCAGGCTGTTGGCACAGGTATGCCAGGTGTGATGGGAGTGGCTAACTGTCGTAAATGTGACTCCTTCCAAGTCCTTTCTGTCCCCCACTCCATTTATCAGCCAGCCTTGGCCTTACATTGCTGTTCTTGGATCCTGATTTTCCTTTCTTGCTTGACCTACCATAGAGGCCCTCACATCCTGCCTGCTTCACGCGTTCTTATTGCGTTTGTTTGGTTTTTCACACAGGGTTTCTCTTCGTAGCCCTGGCTGTCCTGGAACTCCCCTGTAGACCAGGCTGGCCTCAAGCTCATGGATATCCGCCTGCCAGGTCATGGGATTATCGGTGTGTACCACTACTGCTGCCCGGCCTGATTGTGTTTAAAAACACACTTGGCTGGGGAAACCTGCTCAGGAAATTGCTGCATAAGTATGAAGACCCGAGTTCGGATCTCCTGAATCCACATGAGAACGAACAGTGGTAATGCGTGCCTTGATCCCCAGCACTAGAGGGCTGAGACAGGAGAATCTTGGGACTTGCTGGCCAGCCAGTCAAGTGAAATGGTGAGCTTCAGTTTAGTGAGCAATCTATCTCCAAATATAAGGTGGAGACCAACTGAGGAAAGACATCCCGTGTGCAGCGCTGGCCTCAGCGTGTACCCTTACGGTTAAGTATGCCTGTATTATCAGTGTACACACGCATTTGTACACGCCTACAAATAAGTAAATAGAAACACCTTAAATAGCTCCACAGGCCTGTGGGAAGCCAGCCAAGGAAAAGGGGGCCTGGTTATTTTGTTTTGCATTTAACTACTGAGGACGGCAGTTTTTCTCTCTATTCCATATTCATTGGTTTTGGTATGCACCAGAGAGTCGATACTCAAAAATACCCAGAGAATCCCTCGCAGAGGATTCTTCTGGAAAGTTTAGTTAGATATTGAGACAGGGGGATGGACTCACTGGCCCCAGGAGCAGTATCTCATCCTGGGAAGCCATGTTCTCTGAAAAGCATGTTTCTCTGTATAGTCCTGGCTGTGCTGGAACTTGCTTTGTAGACCAGGCTGGCCTCGAATTCACAGAGAGCCGCTGTCTCTGCCTCCCGAGTACTGGGATCAAAGGCGTGCACCACCACCACCTGGAACTCTCTGAATTCTTAAGGCCCCTGCCTCTTCCTTGACTTCAATTGTCTAAGATATTTAACCAACGGGCAGCCTTCCATCGAGCGGTTCCCCATCAGCTTTAAAACCTATTTCTCAGGAAACTACTTTCACCATGTCGTGCTGGGGATTTATTGCAACGGTTACTACGGCTCACTGGGCATGAGCCGAAGGGCCGAGCTGATGGACAAGCCGCTGACCTTTCGGACTCTGAGCGACCTAGTCTTTGACTTTGAAGATTCCTACAAGAAATACCTGCACACGGTCAAGAAGGTCAAGATTGGGCTGTACGTCCCCCATGAGCCTCACAGCTTCCAGCCCATTGAGTGGAAGCAGCTGGTCCTCAACGTCTCCAAGATGCTGAGGGCCGACATCCGGAAGGAGCTGGAGAAGTACGCCAGGGACATGCGGATGAAGGTGAGCGCCGGGACCAGTGTGTGGTGTGTGTGACCTTTCTTCCTGTCTGTACCCACTGTTTTACACATGGGACAAAATACCTGACCCCGAAATACGGGAAAGAGGGAAGGAGCGTTTATTTCCGTTCACGGTTCAAGGATACTCTCCATCATGGGAGACACTAGAGCGGCAGGAACCTGAAGCAACTGCGGCCACAGCATGGAATGGCGCTATCCGCAGTAGTGTGTGGTTCCCACCTCAATTCATCCAGCCTACAAACTTCCTCACAGACATGGTCAAAGAGTGGCTTTCCCTGGGAGATTCTTAAATTCCATCAAACTGAGAATCAGAATTTAACAATCACAATATCTCTTGCTTTTTCTAAATGTCAGGAAGGTTTTCTTGCTGAGTGGCCACTCTGTAAAAACAAGCCCTCTGCATCCTCATTTGATTGGACAGTTAGACTGTGTGCCTGTGACGTGTCCCTCATTTGATTGGACAGTTAGACTGTGTGCCTGTGACGCGTCCCTCATTTGATTGGACAGTTAGACTGTGTGCCTGTGACGCGTCCCTCATTTGATTGGACAGTTAGACTGTGTGCCTGTGACGCGTCCTGCTCCTTGTCCCTGTGAATTCCACACCCTCAGTTTCAACCTACTCTGGGTCAAGGATAACATGAAAGAAAGTTGCAGCTGTGCTGGTTATATATATACATACATATATATATATAATTTATAATTTATTATTATTATTCCCTAAATAGTATATAGTTGAACAGCTATTATGTCTTAGGCATTACAGGTCATTCGAACTGAGATTCAGCATTCACAGGAGGATGCAAAGATAAGGGACTCGAATACCCATGGGTTTTTGGTGTCCCTTTGCAGTCCTGTAACCAATTCCCAAAAATGTCCCTGGGGGGGGGGCAAATGTACTTCTTTATAAATGAGAGCTGAAACCATCTTAGATGTTACAAATTAAGTGGTGTCTCTCCCCTTAATTTCTTCTATGAATAACACCCCAAAATAAGAGACCAGCTCTGTTGCTCAGGTACTGTGCCTGGAACAGAGGGACTTCTCAGGCTGAGATGGTCACCCTATCTTATGGTCTATTTCAGAGTCACACTGGGTCTGTTGGGCCTGCATCGCTGCGTCTTGGGCATCAGGTTCTAAGCTGGTGTCAGAGTGGTCAAGAGGGGCATTCACTGTGCTGAGCTTGGGTCCATGGCACTCAGTATCTATTCTCCACTCTGTCAGCTCACTCCTAGTGACAACACCCCCGCTGTCCCTGTCCCTCCAGGGCCTGTGGAGTCACTAGGAGAAAGTGGCTATTCTGAGTCAGGCATGTTTACCTTCAGTCTTCAGGAGCTGGAATGGTGGTACTGGTAAATTAAAGACCATTCTGTACCTGAATGTGGGAAGGGGGAGTCAGCAGAAGCTGGTTTCCGGGAGCCATGGAGGAGACTTTGCCTTCCAGGGTGAGAGTCTTCTAAGCAAACTGCTCCAGGAGGCTGAGGTGCTGGGCTTGGCTCCCTTCCTCCACAGAATGGAATGATGTGATGGTCCTTGTTGCTCTCCAGAGGAGAATGTGAGGAACGTCCATCCTGGATAGGCTGGGGCTGGAGTGTTGTGCTGTTGGAAGGTGAGAGGTGGGGGTCCTTAGGATCCAATGTGGCTAACTCCTAATCTAGTGTGGCGAGCTAACTAACACTAACTCCTATCTTCTTCAGATCCTGAAACCTGCAAGTGCCCACTCGCCAACTCAAGTGAGAAGCCGGGGAAAATCCCTGTCTCCCCGAAGGAGGCAAGCGAGTCCCCCAAGGAGGCTCGGCAGGCGAGACAAGTCGTGAGTGCTATTTTCCCTTCCCTGGCACACACATTTGCAGGGGTCTCCAGACCTGTGGGGATAAGCGGAGTCCCCTCGAAGAGGACTGTCCCCATTCAGAGGTTGTGCTGGAAAAGGTGCTGTGGTGCATGCCAGCTCCAGGGTGGCAGTCAGCTGAGAATGAGCTGAAAATACAGCCAGAGGGGAAGGATCCTGGAAACAGAACCAGAGAGCGTAGGTCTGGCATAAGCTTAGCTACTTAGGAGCTGTGCCACCGTGGCATTTCTTGTGCCTGTCCTGGCTGTTTGGGTCTGTCAGTACAGACCTGCATTCCTGTGCCCAGCAGGGTGTGGGTGCTGTGAGCCTGTGCACAGGAGCGCTTCCAGGCTCCTCTTCCCTGGCGGACTCTACGCTAGGCTGGTGACGCAGCTCTTTCTGAGGTTAAATGACTCACATAAAACATGCCAGTTGAGCTGCTCAGAGTTCCCAGAGTCCCCTGCGCTGACCTGTTAGCAAGCCCTCAGGCCACAGCACACTGACAATTCCCTATTCTCATCGGGTTGTCACTACAGCCACTCGCACGCTGGAATCAGGGGTTAGAAGCCTTGGTTGAGTCCCTGCTTAGTCACACGGTAGCCATGTAGCCAAGCAGACCCTGGTCCCGAGGGAGTCATGGTTTGCATTGGTAAGAGGCTAAGAAGGTTTCCTCATCTGTCCCCCAGCTTTGTTGAAGGGGTCTGATTAGATCACGTGGTGTGTGTGGCCTGTTAATGGTAAGCTGCTTTCCCCAAAGCACGTCCCAGTCAGTATGTCCAATCCACAGGCTCTGCAGGGAATGTTAGAGTTTGCTATCTTAGTCCTAAGTCCTGTGGCTGGTCAGTAGGAAGCCAACACAACCCCCTGGACTAAGAGGTGGCAGGGACGAGGGATAGTTCTGTTTGAGTGACAGACAGAGCATAGTTTCCAGTTCCAAAGAAGGCTCTTGTGCTTCATCCCGCCGTCCCCCCAGATTTCACATGGACGGCTAGCTGAAGTGTAGCCTGGGAAGGGGGAGTCCAGGGCCTCTACAGCAAGGGAGGCTGACATCAGGGTGCTTCAGCATAGCCCATTTTTACAGAGAGCCAAATGGTTTCTGACCTTTCAGCTGTAGTCTCCTGATGACCCTAGTCTTACCCTTGCTGACCTCTGACCTTTACACCCATCCTCACCATGCCATCCTCTGACCTCGACACCATCCTCACCATGCTGACCTCTGACCTCGACACCATCCTCACCATGCCGACCTCTGACCTTGACACCACCTCTGACCTTGACACCATGCTCACCATGCCGACCTCTGACCTCGACACCATCCTCACCATGCCAACTTCTGACCTCGACACCATCCTCACCATGCCGATCTCTGACCTTGACACCATCCTCACCATGCCGACCTCTGACCTTGACACCACCTCTGACCTCGACACTATGCTCACCATGCCGACCTCTGACCTCAAAACCATCCTCACCATGCCGACCTCTGACCTTAACACCACCTCTGACCTTGACACCATCCTCACCATGCCAACCTGACCTTGACACCATCCTCACCATGCCCGACCTCTGACCTTGACACCATCCTCACTGACCTAAGCTCTTTCTCTCTGACTCAGTCACCATTTCTACTACACTGCACTCTCAGAACTGTGAGCAGAAAAACCTTCCTGAGGGGTCAGTGACGGGCCCAGCAGCAGGAAGGAAAGCCCTGTCATCTGATCTATTGACCTCTCCTTCTGTGAGGAAATAACCATTAATTCCTTCAAGCTCCTGTGAGCAGCAGGGGTTGAGCTGCCCACAGAGCCTGAACCAGTACACAGGAAAAGTGCCTCCTGCTGGAGCAATGGGTCTCTGCACAGAAGGGCAGCCATTGACAGTTCAGCACTTCTGGGTCAATGGTTCTGGTTGGATCCTTGCACCTAGACCCACAGGAACTCAGTGAGGTCAGGGGTGTGGGACACTAACTGCCAGGGGACAGAGCAGGGTGGTAATCAGGCTTCTGGACCGAATGTTTAAAAAAAAATACTGGTAATAGGGCTTGAGGACAGATTTAAAATTGGAGGCATCCAGCCAGGCAGTGGCGCACGCCGCCTTTAATCCCAGCACTTGGGAGACAGAGGTAGAGGCAGAGGGGATCTCTGATGTCAGCCTGGTCTACAGAGCTAGTTCCAGGTTAACCAGAGCTACAGGAAGAAAACCCAGCTTGAAAAAAAAAAAAAAAAGAACAAAAACAAACTTGGAGGCATCTATGCAGAAGTGATATAGAAAAGGAAAGAAAAAGAGAGAAAAGGGAGTGAGTAGCTCTGGGAAGGACAGAGAAAGGAGAGCTGGACAGGAGATGAGGAAGGGACGGATCCGGGACAGTCTGGCCCGGGTGTGCACTGTTGCTCTTCTCACTGGTGACCAGGCGAGGCGACCACCCCTTCCCTGCCCTGCTCTGGGGAACGAATCCACTGACCTCCTCCTGTCCACCATCAGGATGGGCCTGGGAGTGAGGCTAAAGAAAAGGAATAGGGAGTGGCTCCCCAAGTCAGGAAGGGTGGTCTCCAGAAAGAGGGGCTTCTCTTTTGCCAGCCTCCTCCCTTTATACCCCATGCCTTGATTCAGACCTAGTATTGGGCGCTTCGGGGAAACCGAGGTTCAGTGGCAAAAACGTAAATTCAAAAACAGCGTGCACAGCGAGGTCCGGGGAGAGCAGATCCTGAGGAGGTGGCGGTGGGGGAGGGGACTGGAAACACTGTGGACTCAGGGTCTTTGGAGTACTGTGTGATTGGGGAGGGGCTGAGCCTGTGAAAGGGGGAGTGATGGAGGCAGGAGGAGGAGAGTACGCAGGATGAACCCCCGAGCTGAGATCCAGGGACCAGATTCCTAGCCCAGTGAACCAGCTTTCCTTCCTGTGAGAGGAGAGGGGAATTAGCGAGGATTCTTTGAATATCGTATTCCCTCTGGGTTTTTTCCTTGCAGAATTGAAGAGAACCACACTATCTTTGGAGACAAGGTGGAAATAACCAGGAGGAAGAGGTGAAGGTTCAAAATAAAGTGATGAACTCAGGAAGCAGGGTTCTGGGGGAGCCAGGGTCAGAGTGATGGGATGCGGCAGTGAGGGCTCAGAGGTGGGGAGGATTCGGTTTGTGCCTCTGGTGGCCTTGTGCTGGGCAGAGGAAGCTGTGCCGTTGGGTGAGAGTAAGACAGAAAGCCATAAACACAGATTGGACAGGGTCTAGGCTGAAGACCTCACTGACAGGCAGGTCCTGGTTCTCAGAGGGATCTTGTTCCAAACCAGAATGGGGGAGCCGCCCTCTCCTGGAGCTTCTGAACCAGCAGCTTTGGGACAGACATCTGAGTTTTTCCTCTGATAAGTACTCAATTCTGTTACTGGGGGCCGGGGTGCAGGGAGCACCCCAGAGACGTTCAGCAGCGACCCACCTCCTGTGCTTGATGAACCTAGGCAAAGGGTTCACATTAACAATCAACCCACCATGATAAAAGGGTTGAAGTCTAGTCACTGGCGCACACTGCAGACTTGTCCAGTCTTGGAGGCCACTGGCATACACCCCAGACTTGTTCAGTCCTGGGGGATGACTGGCATACACCCCAGACTTGTCCAGTCCTGGGGGGCCACTGGCATACACTCCAGACTTGTCCAGTCCTGGGGGGTCACTGGCGTACACTCCAGACTTGTCCAGTCCTGGGGGCCTACCTTAGCTGGCCTCATGCTCAGGCCTCATTTAATTCAGCCTTGGGGTGCCCACTGATTCACTCCGACTTTCCTTGCCCCAGACCCTGATCTCTACTACTTTGTCATGCAGCCAAGGCAAGCGGCCACGCCGGCGCCTTCACCTGCACCCGAGGAAGACAGCAGTTAGACAGCTACGGCTGTGAGTGTGAAGCCACTGGGTGCCAGGGCCCCGTTTGTCCTCACCCCTCCTGACACACTACAGTGGCCTGAGAATGGAAAGACCAGGAGGGAATGAGTCCCCAGGTGTTTTCCGTTATCACCCTACCAATGCTGTCCCCCCCAACCCCAAGGTCTGTCTCAACCCCCGGGAGACAGTTGCAGGCCAATATATGATAAACGTATCAAAGAAAAGGTGGGGTGGCTGTACCCAGCTCCCAAGGCCCCTAGACTTACACCTATAGCCATGGCCTTTCCTCCCAGGCTGAGCAGGTTCCCAGGAGCCCTTCATTAACGCTTCCCAGTGGGGTACGATTGGGAGGGATCCACAGCTAGGCAGGTGGCCTTGGAGCAGCATGGTCATGGAGAGCCCTGCACCTGTGTGAGCCTGAGGACAGTTTCACAGGCATGGGTCTCATAAGGTCGTGCATGGCTCTTCTCGGCATCAGAGATCTTGACTCTGTCCACATTTGGAGGTTGGGAGGAGCCTCGAAAGGGCAGCTCTGGAGGCTTCCGTTTAAAGCAGATCGAGGTGAGTGAGGAGGGAGAGCCTTTGCCCAGCTCCTCTCAGACCTGACTTCTGAGGGGCAGGACTGGGGAAGGGCTGGTGCTGCCGTGCAGGGGAAGGGTGGGGGAGGACAGAAGCCAAAGACTGGAGAGGAGGGGAACCATGGAAACTCTGAGCCCACCTCCCGTTGCTCACTTGTGCGTCTGCCATAGCCACAGGCTAGACCAGCACCTCTGGCTTCCAGACATATGTCCACAAGAGGATCTTGTCTCCTGCCCATAGCTTTCTCCACGCAGGCTTGGTCCAGCTAGCTATTTTTAAAGGGACAGGTTTAACCATGCCCCAGTGACTTCACAGACCCTGGGCTCTCACTGAGCTGGTGAGCATCAGGAAGGGCTCTTGGATTTGACTGCAGTGCTATTATTTCGGCTTTACCTCAGGCCAGCGAGTCATTTCTAAATACACTGCGTGCTCACAGTGGAAATTAACCACAACGGGTGGGCGAGAGGCTCGTCAGCTGGGGTCAGCTTTGGTGACTTCTCACAGCTGGGGCCACTTCCAGCTCTGCATTCCCCTTTGTCTTTGCACTTGCCTAAATAATCCCTGGAGGAGAGGCTGTGTCGTTGGGTGCTGGGTTGAGCGGAGTCTGTTGAGTGGGAGGATAACAGTGACTTCACCAACCTCAATTAAGATCAAGTTTTTCGGGGAGACAGCAGTCCCCTCCCCCAGCGGTTCTTCCGCTCTGCTCCCCTCTGAGTGTTTCGGTCTTCTTCTCATTACATTTATTTGTCAGAACATATATCATGTGAAGGGCAGAGAACAACTTTTGGGTTCGTACCTTCCACCGTGTGGGTTCTGTGCCTAGAATTTAGTTATCATGTGTAGTGACAAGTGCCTTTTCCTCCTGAGCCATATTGCTGGTATTTCCCCTCCAAATGTTGGAAGCACCGTCTACACAGAAAGGTCAAGTTTCCCTCTCAGCTCCACCCCCAAGGGGTTCTTAAAGAGAACTGGGGGTGGAAATTGGGCTCTGTTTCAAAGCCCATCATCTTAAACCAACCGGTTCCCAACTCTGGGGCTCAGTCCCTTCAGGTTCCTTTCTGAAAGGTGTCACAGTGACTTGTGAGTGGGCTAGCTCTAGAAGAGCAAGTTAGAAGTCAGGAGAGCCTGATGTGGTGATTCATCAGTTGTCCCAGGCTCTTGAGTGGTGGGAGCCAAGAAGACCACTTGTGTCCTCAAGTTCAAGACCAGCCTAGACTATATATCACGGTAATCTCTAGAAAAGAAAAAGGACTGGAGATATGGCCGAGTGTCTGCCACACAAGCGTGAGTCCCGAGTTCAGATTCCTAATACTTGAGTCAAAATAAAAACAGATCAAGGGGAGAAGTAATTGAGGAGCACACCAGGTCAGCGGCTGGCCTCCACATACAGTGCACACTGTACACAAACACCTCCAGGGGAAAAAAGAAAGATCTCGTCTTCACTGAGGTCAGCTTCCCCAAAGGCCAGAGCAAACCTTTCTGTCCCGTAACTCCTTTTTACCTGGTCGTCCTCCTCTTTTTTTCTGCCATGTTTCTTTTCTTCCCTATCTCTTTCTTGAGCAACATTGTTCCTTTTAGTTATGAACCCACGAAGGGCCCTGGGCCCTCCGGTAGGTCCTGGAAGCCACTCTTGGAGGCTTGGAGGCAGTGGTTCTGTTTAAAGTTAGTTGATCTCTAGGGCGTGACTAGACCCTGAAGGCCTGGAGCTCACAGGCACAGTTGGGTGAAATCTGCACACATGCATTTTCATTTCTCCTGTGTTTATCATTGTGGGTGTCTCTGGAACCATGAGATGAGACATAAAGAAATGTGTGGACCCTTGTGACACTGGTGATTTAGTCGGGTCAGGAAGAAAGTCAGGAGGGTTCTTGACCACCGTGAAGTTGTTTCAGCGAGAATGATCATCGGTCAAGATGTTGGAATCTCTTAGTGGCTACTTGAGATGCAAAGGCAGGAGGATTCCACGTTCAGGGACTGCCTGGTAACTTATGGAAACTTCATCTCAAATACGAAGTGAAAGGGGAGTAGGGGCAGGTTTGGTGGCGCTCACCTGACAGAGGAGAATGATTTAGGATGGCCAAGCCCTTCTCAGAGAGAGAGCCTGACTGGTGGAGTCTGCTGCTCAGTTTTAGCTGGCTGAGCTGGACGGCTTTCTTGTCGAGAGGAACAACTTGCTAGAAGAACCTCTTTCTTGTCCTTGATTTTCACGTTTTAGCACCTCAAGTCAAGGTTCCACGGCACCTTTGTCAGCCTCTTTGATGCTCTTAGGGAAGCGGAAGAAACCCTGAAGTAGATCCTAAATCCCACTTACAGCCTCGGTCCCATCAACCCAAGGTGACAAGGGGCTCATAAGAAAATGGAAGCTGTCAGAACGCTCGCATACGGTGTCATCCTGGAAAGTCGCCAGCACCCTAAGTAATCTCCTGTTACTCAGTGTTAGTGTCGAGGAGTTTTACTGCCAGGTGCTTCAGGGGTTTCCTGGCAAAGACGCTTTGTCACTGAGTGATTTTCTGCCATGGCGTGAGGTTTCAGGTGAATTCTGAAAGATACACCTTTGAATCCTTTATTTTTACCCTGGCTGTCCTGGAACTTACTCTGTAGACTAGACTGGCCTCAAACTCAGAGACCCACCTGTCTGCCTCCCAAGTGCTGGGATAAAGGCGTGGCAGTGCACCTTGATTCTACACATTCAAGCCCAGAGTAGAAGCATCTCTCAAGGACTGGGAATGTCCATTAAAACCCAAGTCCCCTTGCGACCTGGGCTCACTGCCAAAGAACTTTGACTTAGTCTAGTTGTATATGTGGCTCTACGCTCCAGGCATGGCGCTGGGCACCTATCATCCCAGAACACAGCAGACCCAGTCAGCGGGAGGGAAAGGTCAAGGCTACCCAGGGAAACGGAGTGAAAACCTATCTAAAAAAAGTAGAGCCTGGTTAATTTTGCCATGTGTATTGGCAAGTTGTGTGTATATATATACTTTAATTTTAAAAAGTTAGTGTGATTAAATTCAAGCTTAAAAAGCTCATTTGATACCAGATTTTTAAAATTTCTTCACTGAAAGCCTTTAGAACTCCTCAAAACCTCTCAGAATCCACCAAGTACAAGAACTGGGGGCCAAGGCTGGAGGAGTGTGGGTGTGGGGAACAGGCGAGTATCAGGCCCTTGAAAAGTTTCAATCCTGTCGGTCCTGCCCCATCGTCCTCTGCCTTTACCCTTAGGCCTGCTCTACCGGAGAAGAAGGTGGCTGACCTTAGCACGCTGAACGAAGTGGGCTATCAGATCCGGATCTAGCCAGGCCAGGCTGGCAAGGCTTCTATGGTGCTCTTTTCTGCACTTTACGCAGCAGCTTCGGGACCTGCGACCTGCGACTGTCCATGAGGAACTTGCGCAGCTTTGATCTTGAAGGACTTCCCTGGGAACAGAAATCTGAATGGGTGGACACGTGAGCCTTGAAAAATGCTGTGGGCAGCAGGCATGACTGGGCTAAGTGATGGACAGGCCCCTTGGTTGACTGTCTCCCTCAGGATCTCAAGGACAACATTGGAGTTTTCTATTTTTCCATTTGCCGACTGTTCCGCTTGCTTTGGACATTATGCCTCAGCTGTAGTCAACTTCTGGAGTTCTCTCCACTCTCTGTACCCCAGCCAGTGTTACCGTCTTCTCAGCAATAACAAGCAAAGATGGTGGGTTTTTTAAGCAGTTGATATTACCTCAACATTTTGGCACCAGATATGCAATCTTAATGAGTTTTTTATATTCTATTTGTATTGTTTTCCTAGTGTTTCTTATAGGGATCTGGATGGTTTGGCGGGTTTGTTGTTTTTTTCTGGTACACACACGAGACGAGATTTAAGGTGTCATATGCAAATGCTTTAGCAAAAAGCACTGCGATTCTGGCAATAAGGGACAACACATTAGGATCATGGAGTCACTTAAAGCATCTGCTGACAGCAGGCTTCCCTCTTTCAAAGCAAGCAAGCCAGTCCATGTCTGTTGCTAACATTTAAGCTTTTCCAAATCCAGCAAAAAGCACAAGAGGCCACATACTCACCAAAATCCAGCAGTGCCAAGATGTCCTCAGGCAGAAAGGTACTCAAAGGACAGACACTGCAGGGGCTAACCTTCCACTCATGCTTGGTCAGCCTTGGTTCTGAGGGTCTCACCATTGTTAATAAGCTCTCTGCTGTCTTACATTAAGGCAAATGTGATAGACTATTTCCATCATCCACTTCATGGCATAAGGAGGTGCTGGGGAAAACTGTGAACTCAAGAAGCAGGCCTGTCTTAAAGGAAAAGGTCCAGCCCAGCACTGTGCCTCAGGTCCTGAAGCAGAGAGCAAGCCTGCCTGTGGCCACTGCAGTGTGACTTTTGAAAGCATCTGGAGTCCAGCTTTAGGTCACGTGTGCAGCCACTATGCAGAAAGCCCAGCTCATCCCGAGAGCTCTCGGCATACGCTCCTCTGGCTGTGACTGACAGACCTGCTAGCCGACCATTTGCTGAGTCTTCAGCAGGAAAACCTAGGGTTACAAGGGAGGCAACAGCCCTGGGCACAAAAACTCGCTCTACCCTCAAGCCAGTACTGTTTTCTTGGAAAAGTTCAGTGTCCTCTAGAGACCAGAACCAGGAAGCTAAAATAGTGTAAGCTTCAAATTCTGAACTTAATCGCTTTCTTCAAGAATCCTGTTAGCAGAGTTCAAGATAAGTTACTGGGCCTGGTGAGCGCTAGGAAGTTCTGCTCTGACCTTGAGACCCAAGAAAGCACCACTGTCCTCCACAGTCCCTCACACGCTGTCCAGTCTGACTCAAGGCTGCCTGTATCCAAGTGTCCTGAGGAGCCGGAGAGTGTTCTCACTTTTGCTCAGCTGTTTAACCCCCCCAAAACTGCTCCATGTGGTAGCCGGACTGATTAGAATTCAGCGACTAGGCCCCTGCAGCTGCCTTGTTCAAGGATAGCTCACAAGAACGTCAGACAGCGGGGACAACCTTAATCCCCAGCAAGACAAAGAACAGCACCCAGCTGTCCCTGGGTGTGACGCTCTGCCATCTAATCTTTTCCACAACCACTTTGATTTTTAGATTCATTTTCCAAAGCAAGATTAGTCACAGAAACATTTAAAGTGCTCTTTGCCTTTCAATTTTACTGACTGTAGTTACATCAACTTCTAAAAACAGAAGGAAGGCACGAAACACCTAAATTTTAATGCAAGTTTAATTAAAAAGAACCCAGTGTGTTTGACCTCTCCTCAGCCTGGCTGTGGTTTCTGAAGGCAGAGAGGAAAAGTACGAGGTGACTGGAGCAAGTTTATCCTGTGGCAGGATGTGCAGAGCCGAGCGACAAGCCTCAGGCTGACCCGCTGCTGATTGTAAGAGGTGATCCCTCGTGTTTTCCGTACACTGGCATCTTGCGCATATCCCTTTCCTTGAGTCATCTATTTCATGGGTATCCCCCGCAGACATGGGTAAGGGCCTTCGCAACCTTCAACTTACTCTACAAGGTTTTTGTATGCTGGACTTTAATGTACAACCTTGTATAGTTTTTTTGACACACAATTGAGATTCTTGTTTATTCTTAGACCTTGTTATATTTCAGAAGACCCGTGGCTGTCTGGGTATTTTTCTAAGTGCACGGAGACTGACGGTATCTAAGGAGCGCCAGGAGAGCATGCTTCAGGCTTGCGTTTCTCTCATCACGTGTGCGACACAGCATGGAACTGTAGTAAAGATCATTCTGGAAACTGAGGTCTTTGGATGTTTTGTTGCTGTCTTGTCCTACTGAGTTAATTTACATTTCTCACGTCCCTCTTTTGGGCTCTGTTGAACATTACTCTGTGTGTGTTTCAATCACTTGCCTCTTACTTTCATCCTGACTGACACAGGCTGAGATGGGTACTAGGACAGTTCGGGGTGACAGGCCAGCTTCTCCTGCTCAGTATGTTTACCACAAAGCCCAACAGAGATGTGCAAATATAATAATTTATTACAGCTTATAGATACAAAGTACAAAGGACTTGAGCATCCCTATTGTCTTGATGGCAAAAGGTACAGTAAAAACAGACTATCATCACTTTACAGTTTCCCTTTGCATTTAAAACTTGGCCAGCAGGAGGCTGGGGAGATGGCTCAGTTAGAGGAAGACCTGAGTGTGAGCCCAGGACCACATGAGAAACCAGGTAGGTATCCACATGTAATCCCACACAAAGGAGGCAGAGACAGGAGGGTCTTGGCCTTGCTGGCCAGCTGGCTTACCCTACTTTGGCATATTCCAGGTCAGTGAGAGACCCTGTCTTAAAATAAAAGATGGACCGCTCCTGAGGAATAACACCCAAGACTCACCTCGTCTCTAGACGCACACACACACACACACACACACACACACACACACACACGCGCGCGCGCGCGCGCGATAGTACACTGAGCTCTGACTTCTGCAGTCAACCAGATCAGATTGTGCGCATACACACACACACGCATACACAAACATGGATAGTATACATTTTAGGCTGAGATATGACTTCTATAAGACAGATCAGATTGTGCACACACACATGGATAGTACATACTTTAGACTGAGATCTGACTTTTGCAGTCAGCCAGTTCAGATTGTGCTTGGCAGGTAAATACAAGGCCCACCAGAGGAGCTGCCAGCTTTTCTGTCAAGAAGAGTAGAGAAAATAGGTCATTTTTATTGGAGCTCTAAAAGCTTGTGAAAAGTGTTCATGGCCACAGATGAACACTGATAAGCTAACAGCAGTTTATGAGTTAATTGTATCAAAGTGAAGTACATGAAATGGGCCTAAACTCATAATATATTCATCAGGATACAAAAACGTTTTACAGAGGTTTTCAGGAATGTAGTTTGCCAACAATGTTTACACTAATTCACTCAACTCCCCATACTGAGAAGGGACAATTACCACTATAATCTGATAACGATTATATCTTCTAACCAGGCCCCTTAGCACTCCTCAAAGCACTACTGAGAACTGGGGCATCTTGGCAGTATGTTAATACTGTCCATGAAAACCAAGGTGAGACCCTTTGTTACTGCAGTTCTCAGTGGACATTCCTTTACAATCTCTGTACCTCTGAGGCAGTCATCTAGTAGACTAAAATAATTGTAATAAATAACTTAAAAATTTAAATTGCAAAGACTTACTGCCTAATTTAACATTCTATTAATAAAAATCGCTGTAGAAAACACTTGTAATTTACTGCACTATAAGGACTTAGTAAAAATGCCTGTAATCTGATTGTACTCTCTTAGACATCAGAGGGAATTTCTACTTACACTGAAAGGTTTGGCCGACACTTGTACAGGGACAACTGACGGCCTTGTGAGACCTGCTGAGGCTTCACCCGCAGTGGAAGTGCCGTGGGCTCTGCTGTACCACTGCACCAGAAGCTCAACACTGCGGCCTACTGTTAGTCTGCGGAAGCATGGAGTGTGGAGCTCCCAGGCCTAAGCTGTGCCTCCCTACGCTCAGGCTTCTGCACACCGGAGGTGAACAATAGTAGAGCTGCCATTTCCTTCCAAAGACTGATTTTCTAAAATTTATATAAAATGGGTCAACAAAATGTCACTCCTGACCCCAGGGTCTTCTACTGTCACCAAACAGAAAGGGAAGTACAGGGGGACACAGTTACAAGCCAGGGTTTGCCACCTTGTCTATCTTTGAGTCAGGGTCTTGCTGTGTAGCCCAGCTGACCCTGAACATGCAGTGCTCCTACCTGTCTCCTGGATGCTAGCACTACACACGTGCTCATCTTCTCTCCTTGGGGCAACCCCTGTACAGGACAGGAGTGGGCTTAGATAAAGCACTTGGACCTCTTTCTCTCTCTCTCTCTCTCTTTCTTTCTTTTTCTTTTTTGACACAGGTTTCTCTCTGTAGTCCTGACTGTCCTGGAATGCAGTCTGTAGACCAGGCTGGGCTTGAACTAGATCTGCCTGCCTCTGCCTCCCGAGTGCTGGGATTAAAAGCATGGGCCACCATCAATCCAGCTTTTGTTTTTTTAAGACAGGGTTTCATGTAGCCCAGGTCTCAAACTTGCTATGTTGCTAAAGTTGGCTTTAAATGCCTCCACCTCCCAAATGCTAAGATGTAAGGTACGTACCACCATGCTGGCTAAGGGCTTTGCCCTCTTATGAGAGTGATCTATATTTCTCAAGTATTTCCCCAACAAAGTGTAGGCATATCCCACAGCTCAGGATGGAAGTGAAGTGGGTCAGCATGTTGTACAACTCAAGAGCACCATCAACCTCTGGAGGAGCTACTGTGGTTGGACACCTGTGACTGAATGACCAGTGACTCCTAAGAAATGATTAGCTCTCAGTGAGCACAGACTTCTCCCAGTGAACCAGACCTCCATGAGAGGCAACGCCTGAGCTCCGCTAGTACCGGAAGTCCACTGGATGTACTGAAGAACACTAAGTTCGTAGCTGGAGGGCCAAAGAGAGGAACTACGTTTAAAAATGCTGTTAACTTTACCAGGACTTAAAAGTTATTTCTATCTTTTACAATAAAGTGTTTAGACATCAGTTGTCAGAAAAATATTCCATTAAAAAGCTGTTGTAAACTTGTTCCTTCCAATCTGCTCAAGCAAGTTCAAGGCATATCCCACAGCACAAAACTGAGTATCATGCAAACAGTATCTTTATAGTCTTTGAGAAGACAGGAAGCTGTGTGAGTGAGCACTGAGTCAGAGCTCCAGCCTGAACTTAGCCAGCAGAGGCAGGTGGTCTGAGGAGTTGTGTTCATTGGGAAGCCCATTCACAGTCCACAGGTCTTGCTCTGTAAGAAGCGACAGTCTAGCTAGAAGTTTCAAGCCACCAACCAAAGCAACTTCAGCTCCTAGTTGAAGAAGCACATATTTAGTGAAACTGTCATTAAGCAGGCAAGGTTGTTTTTAAACAGTGAGACAGAACCTGAAGTTTAGCAGAAAACTAAAATGAAAGATTTTAGAGTATAAGGTTTTGTGAAGTTATAACCAATAATCCTAAATCTGTAGACTCATGCTGTTTATGCCAGGTAATTTTTCTATTTCAATTTATGAAATTTACACCTTTGAAAGATTAATACAATGAAATGTTAAGAATGTGCACTGGGTGGTGGTGGTGCGCTCCTTTAGTCCCAGAACTCAGGAGGCAGAGGCAGGCAAGAGTTCACGCCAGCCTGGTCTACAGAGAGTTCTAGGAGAACCAGGGCTATACAGAGAAACTGTGTCTCAAAAAACAAAGGAATTTGATATTGAGAACCACTTAAGAATGATCCACCAAACCACTCTAATTGCCCAGAGCCAAGCTGCCAAGGTGACTGAATGATAAAGTGACATGCTTTGAGCCCACTCATTCTCCCCTCAAGTGGAAAATAACCGGCTGCTGATCCTGGCACTCTCCTGCCACCTAGTGAGCTCTGTAGACATGGCAGCTTCCAGACCATACTGTGAACAGAGCAGCTACACTGGGTAGTTGGTTCAGTCAGAACTGAGGTCACTGAGAAGGTATGCCCAGGAGGAACTAACCCCGGAGAAGCAGCATCAGAAAAGGGGGTGGGGAGTCTGCCTTGTCTAGGAGTCCAGATGTTTCCCTGAGTGTTTTCAGATTTCCAATTATCTTCATGTCTGCTCTGTTTTAAGTCCTTCAGTTGGTGTATCAGCCTGACTTCCTGATGAGCCGCACTGGAGCAGCTGAGGATGCAGTCTGTAAGGACCTGCTGTGGGGTGCTTTACTACCTCAGGACGGGTGCCGCTGCATCACTGCTTTTCCCATCTCCCTTCTACATCCAGACCGTCACCTGTGCCGAGAACCAAGGTTCTCCCCGTTTGCATTCTAGGAGTTGGGGCTCCACTACTACTCACCTGGACCCTGAACAGCGTCCTCCTTTTCTGCAGAGTAGAAAATATAATCAACAGTTATGGCGCTCTGGGAATGGCAAGTGGTCACCTCTGGAAGTCCAGTGTCAGGAAGGAAGTGAGAGTAGACAGACGACAAGCTGAAGTGGTGCTGGAGATGTGAAGACACGCTAGAGAGAAGAGAGAAGGGCTCAGTATCCATCTCATCTAAATTACCTTCTTATTCCATTCCTGGACTAAACCTGGATACTTTTTATTACTGTTTAGTCTTTTTATTTTGTTTTTTTTTCAGACAAGGCTACATGATAGCCCAGGCTTGAGTGGAGTGTACTTTATACCTTCGGCAGGCCTCAAATTTGTGGCAATCCTTCTGTCTCAGTTGCTAAAGTACTGGTCTAATATGTGTAAGCCACGTGCCTGGCTCTTCTGTTTTTGAGAGTTTCTTTCTGCAGCTCAGGCTGGCCTCATTCTTACTACACAGCCAGGCTGGTCATCTCACACTTCCGCCTCAGCCTCTTGAGGGCTCTGATGACAAGTGTGAGGTGGGCATCACTCAACAAACCAGATCCTACACCAGGCTCCTTTGCTGACACAGGGATGTAAGCCAACTGAAACTAAAACCCAGCAAATGATGCCAAATGGGGTTAGAGCTAAAGAATCAATGTGCTAATTAGATCTTAGAATTATACATGTTTGAGAACCTCCGTTTAAATAATGAGCATACACTCCTAAACAGTGTGCATGTTTTGGTTGTGGTTTTAAGGATGCTCTAAGTGGGCAGTGATGTGCAGGGCTATTCAGGACCTTCTGGATCTCTGCTGGCAAAGAAGCCACAGGCCTGACATGCTTTCTGCTGCTCTCAGGACAGTTGCCAGACTGGCTCACATTTACTGTTGCAAAGACATGTCATGTCACAGACAAATGGGTTAAAGAGCATTTTCTAATATCATGAATTTTAAGAGCTATTTATGCTATAAAGGCAAATTAAAATTTTTTTAGAACGTTCTTAAGTTCACTCAACAAACATTTACCAAACATCTATTAAATTCTATACATCATTGTAGGTGGTAAGGGACATATAAAAATGTAGCTCAGCAGTTAAAAGCACTGGCTGCTCTTCCAAAGAACCTGGGTTCAATTCCCAGCACCCACATAGTAGCTCACAACTGTCTGTACCTCTGGTTCCAGGGGATCTAACAGTCTCTCACAGACACAAATGCAGGCCAAATACCAATGTACATGAATATTTAAAAAAAATATTCATTTTTTTGATTTTAGTAAGCTCCTAAATAAACACAGGTTGATGCCTTAAAAATACCCTACCTGGCTGGGCAGTGGTGGTTCACACCTTTAATACCAGCACTCAGGAGGTAGAAGCAGGCAGATCTCTGTGAGTTCGAGGCCAGCATGGTCTACAAAAGCTAGTTCCAGGACAGGCTTCAAAACTCAGGGAAATTGTATCTCAAACAACAACAAAAACAAACAACAACAAAAAACCCCTACCTAGCCGGGCAGTGGTGGCTCATGCCTTTAATCCCAGTAGGTAGGAGGATCTCTGAGTTTGACATCAATCTGGTTTACAGAGCAAGTGTGAGGGCTACACAAGAGAAACTCTATTTCAAAAAATCAAAACAAAAAGAGCAAATAAAACCCCAAGCCCCTAACTTCCACTTTTACTGTCTAAGGACTGACATTCACAGGCACTAGTGTGAAAGGTGGAGCATGTCTATTACCCACATGTGGGAAGCTGGAGCTAGCCTAAGCTACATGAGGAGACACAAAAGCATGTTAAGTCCTTCAAGCTGCGGCCTTCCAGTGTTTCAGGTCAGAGACAAATGCTGTGTGTAAGCACACCGACCCCACAGAATGCCAGAGTTCAGGGATGGACACAGCAGCACTGAGCATAACTGTAGTTTCCTGGAGGCTAAGGAGGGCAAAAGCTCAAGGCTAGTCTGGGCTACACAGCAAAACCTTGTAAGAGATCTAATTACTCAAAACCATAAATTGTTATGCTACTGAATTTTTGATATATTTGAAATGTTTAATTCACTTTTTAAAAACTGCTTCTTTCCTTACTAGGTTATTTCTTATAAGAAAATGTTTTCTCGGGGCTGGAGAGATGGTTCAGCAGTTAAGAACACTGGCTGCTCTTCCAGAGGACCTGGGTTCAAATCCCAGAGGACCCAAAGGGCAGTTCACAGCTGTCTGTAACTCCTGTTCCTGGGGATCTGATTGTCGCATATAGACATACATGTAGGCAAAACACCTACTTATGTATATAAAATAAAAAATAAATACATAAAAAAGACTTTTTTTCTCCTCAAACAACACATACAAAGTAAAAGTGAAAAGAATGAGAATAAACTGAAGGAGATATGCTAATGTGGTCCCTACATTTAAATGCTGAAAATATCTGAGTTACAATCTAAGATGAACATCTTAAGAATCTTAGAGAGACAAAATGTAGGTCTGTCTTGATATATTAACATAGACCCACTTCTCAATCAGCCCAAACATTCACGGCTCTTTCTAAAATGATACAGGCTTCTTCTCTCTTCTGATGTTTTCCACCAGTCCAAGAGAAAATGACAGTGACCTCTATGGCATGCTGTTTGGGTGTTTTGTCTGTGAACTGAGATCTAGTTAGTAAGATAAGACTAATGACCCACTGCAATCAGGAAGACACTTTCCTGGAAACTTCAGAGGTCCTGGGCCCATGTGCTGTGTTTGCAGACACTGCCTAAGCATGCCAAGCATAAAATAGTACTTTCCAAGCTTTGGCTCCCTGAATCCTCACAACCCATGTAGGGAAATGGAACTGGGATGCCGGATTCTCAGTTACAAAACAGCAGTCAGATCTGGAATTCATGAGTATCTGTCTTAAACCCAGAAGCCTTTGCAGCACGGAACAGCATCAACTTCATTTTGTACCCAAGTGTTTCCTGAGGTAATTTTTTTGAGTAACTCACTTTCCAGCTGACACTCCGACCTCTGCCTTCTCCAACGGGGTCTCCGTCAGACTGCTGTCTGAAAGAGCAGAGGGAAGCATGTCAATCAAGGGTGAGCACTGGTTCTAGTTTGTCCTAGCACAGCTTTCACTAGATCCAGATTCACGGTATGTCTAGTTTAAATGTTTGGTTCCATGTTTGATCCCATGGTCTACATTCTGATGGCCTACAGAATCAGGGGAAAAAATGAAGACAATTCTAAGGCAACACGCAAGTTATTTTTTTTTTAATATTTATTTATTTACTATGTATACAATATTCTGTCTGTGTGTATGTCTGCAGGCCAGAAGAGGGCACCAGACCTCATTACAGATGGTTGTGAGCCACCATGTGGTTGCTGGGAATTGAACTCAGGACCTTTGGAAGAGCAGGCAATGCTCTTAACCACTGAGCCATCTCTCCAGCCCAACACGCAAGTTATTCATGAACAAATAACACTGGACTTTAACTCTTAAAAAGGAAATCTGGAGTGTATTAATCAAAAGACAAGCAAATAGCTATTTATATTTATATACATGAGCATTATGCCCAAGATACTGAAACTTTGACATTTGAGTCCCTGTCTTCGCAGGAAGATTGTCACCCGGAAGCCGGCCAGAATGTACTGCAAACACTCACCTGTCTTTCCTGCTCTGGGAACCTGCTGTGTCTCATACACACAGCTCTGGGAGATGCCCAGGTCTGGGGGCCAAATTGGAATAGATAAGATTCTCTGTCCCCGAGAAGACTGTTCCTGGCCAGATACCTGCACAGAATTTCAGTAGGCATCTTACATGAATAGCCTTTAACTAATTAATGTATTAAAGTTTTATATCTTAATAAAAGTAGTCAGAAATGATAAGCATATCCTTCATTTTATATAAATGATGACTTGTGATTACAAACACTCATCCAAATACAGTTCAGAAGCACTTGTCATTTACATGGAAATGACAGTTTCTCACTTGCATGTATTCCTCATTTGAACATGTGCCTATCTACAGCTTTCCCATAACACTCCCTTACCCTTTCTGCTACCTGTAATAGAGTTTCTATTGTGTCAAATGCTATGATCAAACCAAATTTAAAACTATGCTTGAAAATTCTGTTAGTGGAAGATTTACTTTGGTTAAAATACTAAAAACCAAATGATCTAAAACAAGAAGAATGAAACATGAAAATATCATCCAAAGCCAAATAAAATTAATTCTAAGCTGAATAATAAATATATTTCCACATTATGTAAGAAAAGACATTAGTATGTAAAGGAAAGCTCATACAATGACTACTGAATAACTATATTGCTCATGTCCAGCATGCAGAACTCCTATTATTCCCGTGAAAGGGGCTTTCAAGTTATCTTTGCTTGTAAAACCTTTCTGTCTACCAGCTAATTCCTTCAAACAGAATATTTCCAGAAGTGGAAAGACAAAACCAAACCAAGGGAACAGAGGCATGTGTTCGTAACTGTAGGAAACCATACTATCTTAGCACAGTGATCTACCAATTTCCCAGTGGTTTTCACACAGCCACACAATGACCATCCTTACTCCAACAACAACCCTTCCCCACATTCTGATGGGCAGAAGCCTACTTACTACCAGATGAAGCAAACACTTGCCTTTCCAATTGCAAGTCCTTCATAATTCAATTTTCCTTCCTTTATGAAACTATAGAGTGGAGAACCAGGAACAGAATTAAAGTCACCACACATGATGATGGGACAGAAGCTGCCGTCTTTCCGATGGGCCACACTAGAAATCTCTGCTAGCAGCATTGCCAACTGAGTCAGCTTAATATCACCTCGCCGTGGGTTATACAGCAGATGTGTGTTAGCTACACAGATGGAGGGAGAGGCAGCACGTGGCATCTTGGGCTGTAGGAGTAACACTAATCCAATGTTGTCTCTGTCCAACAGAGGAATGTCACGGCGGCAGAATTCCACTGGGTTCACGGATAAGAGTGAAAATTTGGCATGTTTGAAGCAAATGGCACAGCCATCAGGTTTCCTTCCTGTCTTCATCTTATATTCACAGTGATAACCTAGAAGGAATGAATTTAGAAAAGAGAGACTGTATGTCAAAACACATTCCTCTTAATATTTTAAAGCAATGTTTGACAAAGCATATTCTCTAAGACAGGATGCTAGTATATGTTAAAACTAAAGTTTAGGAGCCAGGCAGTAGTGGCATGCGACTTGCCTTTAATCCCAGCACTTGGGAGACAGAAGCAGGCGATCTCTATGAGTTCAAGGCCGGCCTGGTCTACAGAGCAAGTGCAAGGACAGGCTCCAAAGTGACACCTATAAACCCTGTCTTAAAAAATAACAACAAAACAAATAAACAAACAAAACCAACCAACCAACCAAACAAAAAACAAAGTTTAGGTCTAGAGCCAGGGATCTCAAGGAAGGCCATGGGCCCAGCTAGCTTAAGACTGTTTTAACTGCACCACTTAAGAAAATAAATTCTGGGGCTGGAGAGATGGCTCATTGGTTAAGAGCACTCACTGCTCTTCCAGAGGTCCTGAGTTCAATTCCCAGCAACCACATGGTGGCTCACAACCATCTGTAATGAGATCTGGTGCCCTTTTCTGGCATGCGGGCATATATGGAGGCAGAATGTTATATACATAATAAATAAATAAATCTTTAAAAAAAAGAAAATAAATTCTGTAATATCTTATTTCTTTTTTTCTTTCTCTTTTGGTGGTAGTAGAGGTGTTGAGGATCAAACTCAGGGTCCCACATATGCTAGGCAGGCATTCTACCATGGATCTAAATTCCCAGCCCAAAGATCTTCAGAGACAGGGACTCACTATGGATCTCAGGCTATCCTTGAATTTACCATAGAGCTCCAAATGGCCTTGAACTCCTCATCTTAATGCCTCAGCATCCCTAGTGCTGGGATTACAACAAGGCCACCACACCACACATCTTAGGTCTAACTCCAAGCAGGGAACAGGCGCCCACACTTGTAATGCAAGCATCTGGAAGGAGGCAGGTGAATTATGAATCTGAACCACCCTGAGTCATATAGCAAGGCCTTGTCTCAAAACTAGCATGCCTAGTAGGTTTCTTTATTAGCAGACTCGGTCATAACAATTGCAGTAAAGCCTTCTCATCTTTTTGTCCCTTTCCCCATCTCACTCTCTGTGGACCACACTGCCTGACCATGTCAGCAGCAGCACCTTTCCTGTGCTAGCTCTGCTGGCTAGGATGCTCTGGGCACAGCTCGGCCCTCACCCACTCCAAATCTCTGTTCAGACTTCACATCATCCAACCATTCTGCGTTCCTTGCTTGCTGTTCACTTATACACATCCCAGGAAGGAGGAGGCTGGCTGCTGAGAGCAGCGCTGTGTCCACCTGCTAGAACAGCCTGAAGTGTAGGCAGGCACTCAGAAAGCACCTGCTAAATGAATGCCATGTGGGCACATTTTTCTTATTTCTTATCTATAAATCAAATTCTAGAAGCTTCTTCATGAGACAAGGCTTTATCTTTTATATGCTAGGCCATGGTAAAGTCTTCTATTGGTGAAGTAGGAGGCCGGGTCCCTGATAGTGCCCTCCTGGGAACATTTCCCTTTTAAGATCAGATCAATGTGAAATTTCCTGCAGAAATGCCTCAATATTTGCTTGACATTTGGGAATAGGTATCGCATTTTCAAAACTAAGTTATCCCAAAGGGATTGGAGATGGCTCAGCAGTTAAGAACACTGGCTGTTCTTAAAGAGGACCTGTGTTTAGCTCTAGTACCCACATGGTGGCTCACAACTGCTTGTAATTCCATCGGACCCAATGCCCTTTTCTGGTCCCCAGGCTTGGGTCTCACACATGGTACACAGACATACATGCAGGCAAAATATTCACATACATAAAATAATAAATGTAAAAGTTATTCCTAGAGCTAGGGAGATGGCTCAGTGGTTAAGAGCACTTGCTGCTTTTCCAGAGGTCCCAGGTTTGGTTTACCGTACCCATATGGTAGCTTACAACCACCTGCAACTCCAGTTCTAGGACATCTGACACCCCTTTCTGATCCCCATGGATCAAGAATGTAGGCAAAACTTATACACATAAAAATAAATAAATCTTAAAAAGTTAAAGAGAAAAGAAAAAAAAGCTGGCCAGTGGAGGCGCACACCTTTAATGTGAGCACTCAGGAGGCAGAGGCAGGTGGATCTCAGAGCTGGAGGCCGGCCTGGTCTGCAGAGTGAGCTCCTGAGCAGCAGGAGGTGTTACACGAGAAACCCTGTCTCCAAAGACAAATACACACAAATAAACATATGAATGAATAAAAGCTACACCCAAATATAGCATTTTTTATTTTAAAAATTACGTTTTAATAATGTAAAACTCTGAAAGAATAAGACTGGAAAAGTAAATAAAGGTTCCACTGTACCCAGTGACTCCAGACTCGGCCTGATTTCTGTTCCATAATGATCTTCCTGAACTTCCTGCAGACAAAGCACCTGGAAGAAAACAGTGGTTTAAATTAAAACACACAGATGCAAATATAAATTCTATTTAAATCTGATAGTGTGGAAATCAAAGTGACATATATACCTTTTCTTATTTTTAGGATAAATTAATGTTCTTCCTTATTTTAATTTTGTTTGTTTGTTTTTTCAAGAAAAGGTTTCTTTGTGTAGCCCGGGCTGTCCTGGAACTCACTCTGTGGACCAGGTTGGCCTTGAACTCTGATATCTTCTTGCCTCTGCCACCCAAATGCTTTGGATAAAAGGTATACGCCACCACTGCCCCAGTTTTTTTATTTAATTTTTTGAAAAAAAAATGATTGCTGTGCACACACCTCTAATCCCAGAACTCGGGAGGCAGAGGCAGGCTCTATGACTTGGAGGCCAGACTGGTCTACAAGAGCTAGTTCCAGGACAGGTTCCAGAGCTACATAGAAACCCTGTCTTAAAAACACAGGGGGGCGGGGGCTGGAGAGATGGCTCAGAGGTTAAGAGCAGTGCCTGCTCTTCCAGAGGTCCTGAGTTCAATTCCCAGCAACCACATGGTGGCTCACAACCATCTATAATGAGGTCTGGTGCCCAGACATACACGTAGACAGAATATTGTATACAAAATAAATATAAATAAATAAATAAATAAAAACTGCCTTCAGCAGTATTTAAAAAAAAAACACAGGGGGGGAAAAAGGCAAGAAAAAAATCATTCCTCTTAATTACTCTATATCACAAGAAATATGTTTCTAAACATCTTCTAATTATCTCAAAACCATGGCCTACACTCATATGGGATAGCATTCTTATCATTCAAAACAGTCTATTTCCTGAAAGAACTGTTTTGTATTGTATATATGTGAGGCTATTTTTCCTGACATGGTGCACAGAAATTCAGGCAAAGCATTCATAGCTAGAGTAAAAACAAAATCTCAAAAAAAATGTATACATTTACTCATTTTCAAACTTCACTGTATTTAAGAACTGTATGGTGATTCCATTAAAATGTAAATTCTTCAATGTATATTTTATACACATATGTAAATGTCAAATTAAAAATTTTAGCATGGTACTGTTTTAAGTAATATGGGAAGTGCTCCATAGTTTTCACTTTCAAATGTTACAATAAGTATACATAGATAAAGATTTTTTAAGACACAAAAATTTGTACAAAGTGCATTATTATTTTGAAAAGATCAACATAGAAAATTTGATAGAATTGTAAAAATTAAAAAGAAAAGTAAAATGATCTTATATTTTATTATAATAATAATAACAATAATAATAACAACAATAATAATAATAATAAAGCTAGGTGAGGGGCTGGAGAGACAGCTTAGTGGTTAAGAGTACTGGCTGCTCTTTCAGAGGTCCTGAGTTCAATTCCCAGCACCCACATGGTGGCTCACAAGCATCTGTAGTGAGATCTGGTGCCCTCTTCTCTTATGCAGGCATACATGCAGATAGAACACTCATACATAAAGAAAAAAGAGCTAGATGATTAATTCTATCAGTGACCACTAATATGGAAGCCACACCTGGCTAACAAGAGCTCCCCCTCCCCAAACATCATTCACCAAGACACTGTCCTCAGAATAAAAGCTCTGACACAGCTTCAGACTTACATCTGCATCAAAATGTTTGATTTCTTTCAGGATATTGGGGAACCGAAAACTCCAGTGTAACACTGGACGTCGGCAGTGTCTGTAGAGGTGTGAGTTACCCTCCAGTAAGTCTTGGGAGAGTATATTGTAAGACATCACTGAAAAGTCGAACTTTCCTTCACTGTCCTCACACGTGGAGTCGGCATTCTTGTCTTCTCCGTCCTTCAGTTTTTCTTTATTATGGCTACATAAATACTCCCAATTCCTTTTTATTGTTCCTGTTAAAACATATCGGACAAAATATAAAAGAATCAATCAAAAGGAGACCAGTTTCACGTACACAAAAACTCTCTCACTTAAACTCTCACAGCTAATCAGTACGTTTCCCCTTGGAGAGAGCAACAGGACAGTCCCCACGTGGGCTGTGCCCAGGGGGGCTGCCCAGGCATCAAACCCATGTGCTGACTGAGGCTAGCATATCTTCCTGGAGGCTGCACTTCCTCATTTGTCTCTGGTTAAGAAGGCTTCTATCAGTCATGCTTAGCATTCTTTATTGCAATGAGAGATTCCGCCAGAGCTAGCTTTCCAGAGACGATCTCCCAGCACATTTCATTCCGTATCAAGATCAGCAGTTACCTTAGTTCAGAATTCTGGCTTATGCATGAATGGAGGGTTGTATAGAATGACAACTGTGGGAATGGTGTTTAGTGTCTAAAATGTAAAAGTGGGGAAATGTGGACAGAATGAGAAAATGAACTGTTACATATAGGGATCCTTGTCATACAGGGATCCCACAACAAACGTTAACATGACGTTACAGAATGTGCTAGACAAACGGAAGAGGCTGCTTAATCAGCCTGCATACAACCACCAGGAATGTACTACAGGTCGTACTCTGCAGACAGTATTCTCTGAAAAAGCAATCAAAGTGGAAACGAAAATACAAGATTCTGCCAGGCGGTGGTGGCACACGCCGTTAATCCCAGCACTCGGGAGGCAGAGGTAGGCAGATCTCCGTGAGTTTGAGGTCAGCCTGGTCTACAAGAGCTAGATCCAGGACAGGCTCCAAAACTACAGAGAAACTCTGTCTCGAAGAAAAAAAAAAAAAAGAAAAAAAAAGATTCTGTAATTACAGATATTTCTCAACTGAGAAATTATCATTTTCTGAGGGTGCATATGTGTATATGTATACACACACAAACTCATTTTCAGGCCCGGGGGCACACAGGAAGCATGTGTGTGTGGCATGTATGTACTCGTATCCAGGCCTACACTCAGTACCAGCACTTGTAAAGCTAAAATAGGAGGATCAAAAATTCAGGGTTAGCCTGGCCAACATGCTATGTTCAAGGACAGCTTGAGCTGCACCGCAGTGAGATAAAACAAAAACAAACAAACAAGGGCTGGTAATTAGTTGGTGGTTGAGCACTTAGCTGACAAGTGGGTTCACTGCCTAGTGCCAAAAAAAGTGAGTAAGTACGTTCATCTTTAATCCCATGTCTTATGTCACATTAGTGAGCATGTGTTTAGTGTCATGGAAGTCATGAGAAAAAGAGGAACATTTAGTTAACCTACAAACTCAACAATGAGGAGAAAAGCTAACAGACTGGAGGTGGCTGGCCAAGCATGCTGAGGGCGAACGGCAGCTTGACCTACAGACTGGCTTCCTCTACCTGCATGTGGGTTTTCATGTCATTAGATCACAAAGCCTAAAATTCTAACTGGAGTTGCCTGAGCATGAGGCTTCCCCTGTAATTCCAACACTCAGGAGGACAAGGCAAGAGGACTGTCAAGAGTTAAGACCAACCTGAGCTACAGTGTGAGACCCTGTCTCCAAAACCAAACCAAAAAGGAAATACATGGGAACAGTTAACTTACATGCAAAGTGAAAAGGAAATACTGTTTTAAGATAGTCTTCTACAATGACAAGGTGTTCACAGTCAGAATATCCATACACTCTATCAGCTGCCAATATAGTACGTTATGGGGAGTTCATTACAGCAGGTTACTCTCCTCGGTATTTAAGTATCCACCTGCTGCATGAGGGATTAGCATTTGACCAGACAGAGGGTAATTAGTGGGAACTGGATGGGACAAGGGAGCTGACGGCATGAAGATGCTAAGGGAAGGGCTTAGAAAAGAGTGGAAAGAAACAAAATCAAAATAGAGAAAAATCTTTTGACAATTCAGAATTCTTCCCAAAGCAGCCTCGTTCCTGGATGAGCAAAAGAAGTTAACTCTTCCCTATCCTGCACTGAACACGGAGAATTCCATCCAAAGGCTTAAGATTAAGGGTAATGGTATTAGCACCACAGATACACTGACAGTTACAGGACCCCAATCACAAACTGGGGGTGTCTCATGGCACAGACTTAAGTCTTCATAAGATGGAAGGGCTCCATCTCACGATGTGTAAGCTTTCACCCCCACTACAGCACCATCCTCTGTATTACTGTGATGAAATACATATATAAAAAAATAAATGTTTAGAACACTCATTTGCTGTTTCTTATAAAATATGTATGGAGTGTACATAAAAATACATTAAGATTATTATTAACGACTTTGTAATGGTGGTTCTTAAATAACCAGGACCAGTGGATACCTGATTAATGTGGAGGCTTTCAAACTTCTACAGGTTAAGGAGTCCTCTGGCACTGCTTTTCCTGTCCCAAGAAAACCAAATCTTTGCTGAGGGGGAAACACAGTTCATCCTGAACACATTTTTTTTTTTTTTTTACTAAACAGGTGCAAGTGTGTTCAAATGCTAGGTTCCTTGGAGGAATTCCTCCAAACTACTGACACAGTCAACAGTCTCTGGCCATCACATAGTTACAACAAATTCACACTGCAAACGCTTATATACCTTCCATGTCAGGAGGAACAGGTGATCACAGCAGAGCAGAGGGATGAGTCAAAGAAAGTAAGTACTGGGCATGAGCAGGTAGTGGGGCGCCTAATTAAAAAGTCATAATTGTGTCACACAAATCCTTCAAATACTTTAAAGTGATAGGCAAATTAGTAATGCTGTTCTGTTGATTGTAAAGTATTAGTGAAATATCGGAAGTCACATATATGGCTTAATGAAGAGCCTTTTCCTTATTCTCAACACCTAGGAAGAATGGACAGATAAAAAGTCAGATAGCAATCAGAGATTATCAGTTATAAATGCAACTCCCCATCCATTTCTGGGAAACACCACCACCACAATTTTTTGAGTAGTCACTAAGAAGCCAATAGTATGGTAGGCATGTCGACATACCTCATTTTGTCCTGAATGGGCATTCAAAATAGGTGTCATTTATTACACTAGAAATCCAAGCAGTTTTAGGTGACCTTTCCAAGCTCATGGAGAGTGGCAGGGCATACATGAGGGCAGGGAGTGCTTCCTAACTTTACCATGCTTACGCTGCATGTCAGGATGCCATCTGTGGACGCACGAAATTACCAAAGGTTGCAAGAGAGAAGTGTGAGTTGGCTGGATGAGCAGCAAACACATAAATGCACAGGTCCTTCTGAGGACCTGGTTCCAGTGTCTACATAGGACTACTTACAGTTACCTATTTCCACAGATTTCTACGGCCAAGGACTTAGCCTCTACTTACATGTGTGTTTATTTGAACTAGCTCTTTGTAAATGTACCAATTAATCATTTCTGCCTTGGGACCCAGGTGAATTCTCCAGAGAACTTTCTGGTAACGAAGAACAAGGAGCCTGAACCCTAAGGGCTCAGGAGCTCCCTTTCAGTTCTTTCACCTCTGCTTCAGCTCCCTACACTAGGCTCCCAGGCAGCGGCCTCTAAAGTTCAGTAAGAAAGGCAATCCAAGCTCTTACACACCTCACTCTACGCTGGGGTGAGAGTGGTGGGGGTACACGAGCTGCCTAGGAGTAAAACAGCACGAGGTAAGTAGAGGGAATCAATATAGTTTTAAGAGTTCCACAAAGTTGACTAAGATATGGCTCAATTTCTGAAAGGTAATAATTCTGACTCTCCCTTGAGTTTCTCTAGGACTGGGCATTTAACTCAGTGGCAGATTAAGTACAAGGTACTGGGATCAATCCCTAGCACTGAAAAAAAAAAAGAAGAAAAATATGTATGTAACCTATTTATAGACTCTAATTAGGAAAATACAGATTTAACAAGCTAAAATCTTATTCTGTAACATTCTACTTACGATTATTTCTAATAACAAATCTTTTATATTATATAAAATTACTATTAAAATGAAAACACAAAATTAAAAATTTTAAATCAGCGATTTCCACTGCCAATTTATTCTCTAAGTCATCCAAGACTTCAAAAACTGGTAGACATGAAAACTGTTCTTAGACCTTGTGTCTTTATCCACTTCTGTTATCTACTGTTATTCAATCAGTAGCGTCATTTTCTACGTTTATATTCTTATATAGCCTACTTACTTAAGTACCTACATAAACTATATAATCTATTCATAGATACTGAGATGGTCTTATAGTTCTTTTCTGCATGCACGGAAAGAAACATAGTTGAAGATGAAGACACCGTCCCTAACACAGGAACTTCTGGCTAAAAATAAGCACATCTCTAAGATAAGGAAGACGGCTTCAGGGTTAGATATGATGGCTTCAACTTAGCCTATCATTCTGTCTGTCCCTTTACCAAGGTAAACATCTCCTTTACCATGGCGTTTCCTCCGTTTGGATGAGGGCTCATCTCTGTCAGAGCTCATGACGTCACTGGAGAGATGGAACAGGGATGTGCTGTGCAGACGGTCAGGTCTCCAGTTATAGAACTGAAACTGAGTCCCAGAGTCAACCAGAAGAGGTGGTCTACAGTTCAGTGAGAAATGCCTGCTGCTCAAGTATGGGTAAGGCGCACGTGAGTAGTGTCCAGGCCACCTCAGACCACTGGAAATGTGTCTGTTCCAGCAATACCTCTGCAGATCCTCCCACGGTGTGGTCCAGTCCCGACCCCAACTCTTCAGAGGATAGGGAAACATGGAGTACCTGGAAGAAATAAAGATACTCCTTGAGGTACCACTTTTTGTTCAGCTATAGTACATAAAATACAAATCTATTTTCTACAGGTAAGACGTCATCTCATATTTAAATTTACTTCTAAATCTGTGAAGAATGGCCAATGAGTAATGACACACACCTTTAATCCCAGCACTGCGGAGGCAAAGGCATGTGGATTTCTGAGCTTGAGGCCAGCCTGGTCTACAGAGTGAGTTCCAGGACAGCCAGGGCTACACATAGAAGCCCTGTCTCAAAAAAACCCCAAAAACCAAAACCAAAACTTAAAAAACCGACCAAACAAACAAACAAAACAAAAACAAAACAGGTCTTCTTCCAGAAGACCTGGGTTCAATTCCCAGCACCCACATGGCAGCTCACAACTGTCTCTAACTCCAGTTCCAGAGGATCTGACGCCATCACAGAGACAAAAATGCATGTAAGAATGAAGAGGAAAGCACTCGTGTTTAACTATCAGCACCAATACCTCAACGTTCTCCCCGAAACAACCAAGGGTGGCATTCTAAATACTCAACAAAAAAACACCAGACACCACAGACACCACAAAAAGTTCATCCACAATCCAACTGAGAAGTTAGTCCACCAAAAAACTAGTGTTCAGATTTCAAAAACTAAACAGACAAGCCCATAACAAACCTAACAGTTCAATATGACACACATACTAGAATGTAAGAAAAAGGCGTGTCTCCTTCCAACTTGGGTTTAGAGTAAAAACATGTTTTGGAATAGTACATTTATACCAAAGTTAAATTCTTCCCAAATACTGGTAAAGCTAAAATCTAAAATCCATGAAAGCGTTCTGACTTGATGAAGCTACTTGCTTCCCTTACTAACCAATGGGTGGAGAAACTGCTTTTCCATTCCTTCCTCTTTTCTTAAGCACACAGCCCCGGGGAAAATTAAAGAGCATAAGGACTATTTGTTTACCAGGAATCCTTCTATACCCAAATCGATGGCATCAATTTTAGCAAAGTACAATAAGACTGTTGTCTGTGTGTGAAGTTGCATGTGCTTGTGTGTGCACAGCCAGAGGTTCATGGCAGGTGTCTTTTTCTATTGTTCTTGACCTTGGATTCTGAGACAAGATCTCCTCCTGAACTTGGGAACTGGAACTATTGAGTTGGGAGCCTCCTGCTCCTGCCTCCCCAACACTGGGGTTACAAACAGGTGACTCCACTCCCACTTTTTACATGGTTGCGAGGGGTTCCAACTCAGGTCCTTGTGCTGGACAGCAAGCACTTAACCAGCTGAGCCCTCTTCCCAGTTCACCAAGCTTCTGTTTAACAGATGTGCTGCTCTTAAGTTCTCAAAAACTGAACTTGACTTCTCGATGCATCCTCTGGCTGGCGATTCAGAGGACTTCATTCCGCTGGGTTCCTGTATCTACATCTACTATCGCTAGTGGAGTCTGCAGAAGTTGCATTTCCTTATCAATGCTAGCTTTCATTTGAAGCCATTTAGCTTTGATTATTATATATTTGAAACTTATATCTCGAACTGCTCTCTAAACCAAACTGACTGTAAATATTTAAAGGCACAGCATGGACACTATCAAAGTCATTCGTAGGGATCTCAGCACCTAGACCTTTTTATTTTTAAAATTCAAAAAGAACTTTTTTGAGCCAGGCATGGCGACACACACCTTCAATCCCAGCACTCAGGAGGCAGAGGCAGGTGGATCTCTGAGTTCAAGACCAGCCTGGTCAACAGAAAGCGTTCCAGGACAGCCAGGGTTACAGAGAAACCCTGTTGTCTCTTGCAAAACACAAAAAGCAAAAACAATTTCTTTTTCTTCTGAGACAGGGTACCATGCAAGACAAGCTGGTCTTGAACTCTTAATCCTTAATCCTGCTGCAACCTTCCCGGTGCTGGAACTGTTGTTTCCTGTCTTGGTATGTGACTACACTTCGGCCTGCACTTGACACAACTTCTTCAGGTTGGCAGATATTTACACCACTATCTTTTTTGGCCTTCTCCATTTTATGGCCTTCTCCATACCTTAAGCCCTGTCTCTACCCAACGGACTACCTAGCACGATGCCTGGCACACAGCTGGCACTCACAACTGCCATAGGAACCAGGGATAACGGAGTTAGCGGATCCCAGTGGCTTATGTAATGATGCCGTGCTATTTCCCACGCGTGGCAAACCAGACGGTTTGAAAGGTTACACAAACCTTTGGAATCTTAACATCTAAGTCTTTAAAGTTTATTAGAGAAAAACACAACCAGGGCATCAAATCTTAGATTCAGCGGGCACTATTTGGGGTGACATTAATAGGGGCAGTATGTACTGTGGCGCTTTAAAATTCCAAGTTTTTTTTTTGGGGGGGGGGGGAGAGGCAGAGTTTCAGTCTAATCCCGGCTACCCTCAAATTCACAGCTATCCTCCTGCCTCAGCCTCCTGGGTGTTGAGATTATAGGAGTGAGCCATCGCGCCCGACTCTCAATGAATGAACTTTAAGAAAAATACCCAGGATGGAGTGAGAACTTGAGAGTGCCCAGCAAAGTTGGCCTCCGCCTGACCGAAGTTTGTG